CCAACCCCCGATCAGCCCTGCTCTGTGCCTGATAGGGGGAGCTCCCCAACCCCCTGATCGCCCTGCGGCTCTGTGTGTGACAGGGGGCGGCGCCCCAACTCCCCAATCGGCCCTGCTCTGAGCCCAACCGGGGGCTGCACCTAGGGATTGGGCCTGCCCTCTGCCACCCGGGAGCAGGCCTAACGACCCGGGAGGTCGTTATCTCCCGAGAGGTCCCAGACTGCGAGAGGGCACAGGCCAGGCTGAGGGACCCCCCTCCCCCCAAGTGCACAAATTTTTGTGCACCGGGCCTCTAGTATTAAATAATGATGTTTCCAATATGATATGTAGAATTTGCATTAAAACAATAGAAGAAAGAGGTGAAGGCAATCCAAATGTCCATTGTCAGATGAATAGATGAGAAATGTGTCTTATATACACAGTGGAGTGCTGTGACGCCTTAAGAAAGAAGGACATTGTCACATGCTACCATGTAGATGAACCTTGAGGACTAAGTGAAATGAATCAGTCACAAAACAACAAACCTGTATGGTTATATGAAGTATCCAAAGTAGTCAAAATTGTAGAAACAGAAAGTAGAAAGGTGGTTCCCAGGCTGGGAACAGGAGAGAAGGGGAAATTAGTACCTCATGGGTATAGGTAGGGTTTCAGTTTTGCAAGATGAAAATGTTCTAGAGATCTGTTGCAACAATGTGAATACACTTAACACGACTGAACTTTACACTTAAAAATGGTTAAGATGGGCCCTGGCCGGGTATCTCAGTTGGTTAGACCATCATCTCTCTACGCTAAGGTAGTGGGTTCAGTTAGGGCACATACTAGAATCAACCAATGAATGTGTAAATAAGTGGAACAACAAATCAATGTTTCTCTCCCTTCCCCTCTCTCTCTAAAAAGAAAAATAATAAATTTTTAATGGTTAAGATGGTAAATGCAATGTTATTTTTTTTAATCACAAAAAAATAATAGAAGAAATAGAAGTGGGTAGAAGTATATATTGAATAAGTTGACCAAGAGCTGACAATTGCAGAGGCTGTGATGAGTATATAAGATTCATTATAAAATATATATATATATATATATATACACAAATATATAAGTATCTATAATAAAAAGCCCAAAATTTAAAAGTTCCTTACTTCTGGGTAATATTTTCTTAACATCATTTATAATCACACATCAATTTTTATCCAAAATTCAAATAGTTTTTCTCTTATGAAAATTTTATATTTTAAATGTTAACTGTCAAAATATAAGGGAAAAAACCTAACCTAAACAAATAAATTAAAAACAAAATACAAACAAAAAAATCTGGAAGTATCTTGACAACAGATATGACAGTAGAAAAAAATTAAAAATCATCTAAAATCCCACCATCCACTGGAAATATTTTGGTGTATATCCTTCCAGAATATTTAAATGAAAAATAGATTTTAATGTCAGTTTGTTACCATCAGATTACAAGAACCCATACTTAACTAATACATCATATGGAAAATGACTCTTTCCTTGTTTATCAAGAAAGTCTTTCAACAGATGTATAAATTATCAATTACACAATATACAAAATTATGTGTTTATATATAGGCTTTTTTTCTTCTTTTTGGAGGGAACCCGAAGCTTTCATAAGAATTTCAAAGGATACCGTGACTGAAGTGGGTTGAGATTATATATTCTATTCAAACAAGTCTTTGCAGCCAGTCATTTCTTCATTAAGAAAAAAATTTGAAGGCCTTTTCAAAAATTTTAATTAAGGCCCTGGCTGGATAGCTCTGTTGGTTAGAGTGTCGTCCCACTTCACCTAGGTTGTGGGTTTGATCCCTGGTCAGGGCACATACAAGAATCAACCAATGAATGCATAAATAAGTAGAACAACAAATCAATGTTTCCCACCCTCTCTCTCTCAAATCAATAAATAAAAAATCTTGGGTGAGTGGAGGTGGAAGAAGGTATATATGGGAGATAAATGGTTATGAAAAAAAATGAAGGGAAAAAAATCTTTAAAAAGTAAAAATAAAATTGTAATTCAACATTGAAATTAATAATACACATCTTTACCAGGGGAAAATAATCACCTAATGCCAGATTTTATTTGTTCTATTACCAATAATTTCTTCCTTTCTCTAATAAAAAGAAGCTTGGTTTTTTAAATGTTTTTAAGATTGCCCTGGTCAGTGTGGCTCAGTTGGTTGAGTGTCGTCCCATGCACCATGAGGTCAATGGTTCAATTCCCAGTCAGGGCACTTACCCAGGTTGTGGGCTCCACCCTCAGTGGGGGGAATGCAGGAGGCAGCCTATTAATGTTTCTCTCTCATCCATGTTTCACTCTTTCTCCCTCTCCCTTCCTTTCTCTAAAAAATCAATAAAAAACATATTTTAAAAAATGTTATTAAGCCCTGGTTTGGCTCAGTGGATAGAGCATCGGTCTGTGGATTGAAGGGTCCCAAGTTCAATTCCAGTCAAGGGCACATGCCCTTGTTGCGAGATCGATCCCCAGTGGGGGGCGGGGGGTGTGCAGGATTCTCCTCATTGATGTTTCTCTCTCTCTCTCCCTTCCTTTCTGAAATCAATAAAAATATATTTTAAAAATGTTATTAACATTGATATACGTTATATAAACTTAAATGCTTTTGTATTTTTCAGGTAACTAAAGTTTTATTGTGTTCATGCACTAATTTGTTGTTAGCAATTACCCTAATACTTTAATAAAATATTCCTTTAGGTGGTATTGAGTAAAAGTTCAATAAGAGAGTGGAACATCATCCATGAGCTGCCTCTTGCACACCCCCGACTGGGGATCGAGCCCGCAACCCCGGGCATGTGCCATGACCAGGAATCGAATCAGTGACCTCTTGGTTTCTGGGTTGACACTCAAGCACTGAGCCATACCAGCCAGGCATTTTTCTTGAATTACTTAATCCAGCAAACCTTACTCTTTAGCTACACTATTAAAATAATATACAAATTTCATATTAAATGCTGTTCTCTTAGTAAATAAAATTTAACTCCATTATAAAATGTTTTGTTATTGCATAGAATGGTTATATAACAACTTATCATTTCTTCCACTCATTTAATCATTATTCCACATCATCAAAGAAGGCAAAACAGGCAAGCAAAACTTGACTAGTAGCTGAAGCTTTGCTTCAGATCCCAAAGTGGAAATGCCAATAGGCTAAGACTTCATGGGGAAGGCTCCTTTTACCAAAGCTAATAAAACTTGGAGACCTGCACATCAAAACCACTCAGATGGACTTCTCTGAAAGTATCTGCTTTAACGATCTTCAAGGGCAACTACCAGCATCAGTAGAAAAGGAACCAGAGAACCGTAGCTTCCAGGGTTTCAGTGGAGGGCTTGGGGACAGGGTGGGGAGAGCTGCCTCTTGGCTGTTTCCTACAAATCACATGGAACGTCAAATATGTACCTTGCCCACGTTCAGCAAAGGTTACCTTGGCCCTGCGGCTCCCCCAGCAAAATGGCAAGAATGTTGTCTGGACCTTGTACAGAGCCGTCAAAACCAGCGGTCTGCCTCCTTCAGGGTGAATGAAGTTGTTGAACACAGAAGGCTGCCACTTAGAGGCAGAATGCAATGGGTGTGGTGAGAAAGAATAGCTCTTTGGCTGAATCTCTAATGTTACTCACATGGGAACAAGTGACTCTCAAAATTAACATCTCAAACAAGTACGCTTTTCCTTTTTTATTCTACTCCCAGCAAACGGATACCCATCAAGCCCTCCCGAGAGGAGAGGGGAGAGAAGTCAAGGTCAATAAGCTCAGCGGTGGTGAGGCATCTGTTTCAGCACAGCCCGCGACGATGTGGCCACTGCCTTTCCCAGACCAGCACCTCTGAGGTGCAAGCAGAGAAACAAAAGCACCAGGGGATGTGCTGCCTGATGGATCAGCCCAAGTTTCCTCCGGCTTTGTCCTGCCTGCGAAAAAGGTGGCTTTAGACCAGCGATTCTCAACCTGTGGGTCGCGACCCCTTTGGGGGTCCAACGACCCTTTCACAGGGGTCGCCTAAGACCATCGGAAAATACATATATAATTACATATTGTTTTTGTGATTAATCACTATGCTTTAATTATGTTCAGTTTGCAACAATGAAATTGGGGGTCACCACAACATGAGGAACTGTATTAAAGGGTGGCGGCATTAGGAAGGTTGAGAACTACGGCTTTAGACAATTGTATAGAACTAGTTGAGCCAAGTGAAGAACAAAACAAAACTATACTGCAGGTTACCTGAACTCTTACCTTGTAGATTTCAGCCACTTCGGGAGCAGTCAATGTGTCCTAACATTTCCTTACTGAGAAAATAATATCTGGAGGCATCAATATTCCCCCAAACAACTTAAAAATACTTATAAAACATATTTTCACAAGAGAAAGGAGACAACTGCTTTATGTTTACAAAAAGAAAAAAACGGATTTTATATCTTAAATAGAAAAAGGAGAAGAAATCCCGAGCCCGCCAGCCTCAGCTGGCCCGCAGCACGTTCACTAGTGACGTGTACCACCCGCTGCTTTCCCGGCGTCAAGCCCACACTTTAGTCCTAGTCTCTCCAGCCGCCGCATCCAGCCCGGTCGCTCGGCCGCCCCGCCCCTGCAAGGGGAGGAGCCACGACGAAGCGATTTAATAGGGCTGGTTGGACCCCGGCCGCGACCTGTCTGACCAGGAGGCGGGGCCATCCGTAAACGGGGGCCCAGGAGGCGTGGCCATCCGTAAACGGGGCCCAGGAGGCGGGGCCATCCGTAAACGGGGGTCCAGGAGGCGGGGCCATCCGTAAACGGGGGTCCAGGAGGCGGGGCCATCCGTAAACGGGGCCCAGGAGGCGGGGCCATCCGTAAACGGGGTCCAGGAGGCGTGGCCACGCCGCCAGCGGATGTGGAGCTCCTCGCGAGGGCGCAGGGCAACCCGGGTCGACAGAGAAAGCCGGTTGCAGGGGCCGGGCCAGGCCTGTGCTGGATGAGTGAGCGAGCAGCGCGGAGCTGCGGCCCCACCTGCTAGGCATCAGGTACGCGGCACAGCGGCGGAGGGGCCAGCAGCCTGACTGTGGCTCAAGAACCGGCGCAGAGAGCATCATGGCAGAGCAGGTGGACCTGAGCCGGGCCCAGGTGTGCGGGATCCTGCGGGAAGAGCTGTACCGGGGTGATGCCTTCCATCAGTCCGAAACACATATCTTCATCATCATGGGGGCATCGGGTGACCTGGCCAAGAAGAAGATCTACCCCACCATCTGGTGGCTGCTCCGGGATGGCCTCCTGCCTGAAAACACCTTCATCGTGGGCTATGCCCGCTCTCGCCTCACGGTGGCTGACATTCGTCAGCAGAGCGAGCCCTTCTTCAAAGCCACCCCCGAGGAGAAGGCCAAGCTGGAGGAGTTCTTTGCCCGCCACTCCTACGTGTCTGGCCAGTACGATCAAGCAGCCTCCTATGAGCACCTCAATGACCACATAAACGCCCTCTGCCAGGGGTCCCAGGCCAACCGCCTCTTCTACCTGGCCTTGCCCCCCACTGTCTACGAGGCCATCACCACGAACATCCGAGAGACGTGCATGAGCCAGACGGGCTGGAACCGCATCATTGTAGAGAAGCCCTTCGGGAAGGACCTGCAGAGCTCCGACCGCCTGTCCAACCACATCTCCTCCCTGTTCTGTGAGGACCAGATCTACCGCATCGACCACTACCTGGGCAAGGAGATGGTCCAGAACCTGATGGTGCTGAGGTTTGCCAACAGGATCTTTGGCCCCATCTGGAACCGGGACAATGTCGCCTGCGTCATCCTCACCTTCAAGGAGCCCTTTGGTATTGAGGGCCGCGGGGGCTACTTCGATGAATTTGGGATCATCCGGGACGTGATGCAGAACCACCTGCTGCAGATGCTGTGTCTGGTGGCCATGGAGAAGCCGGCCTCCACGGACTCGGACGACGTCCGCAATGAGAAGGTCAAGGTGTTGAAATGCATCTCAGAGGCACAGTTGAAAAATGTGGTGTTGGGTCAGTACGTGGGCAATCCCAAGGGGGAGGGCGAGGCCACCAAAGGGTACCTGGACAACCCCACGGTGCCCCGGGGATCCACCACTGCCACCTTCGCAGCTGTTGTCCTCTATGTGGAAAACGAGAGGTGGGATGGGGTGCCCTTCATCCTGCGCTGCGGCAAAGCCCTGAACGAGCGCAAGGCCGAGGTGCGCCTGCAGTTCCGCGACGTGGCCGGCGACATCTTCCAGCAGCAGTGCAAGCGCAACGAGCTGGTGATCCGTGTGCAGCCCAACGAGGCCGTGTACACCAAGATGATGACCAAGAAGCCCGGCATGTTCTTCAACCCCGAGGAGTCCGAGCTGGACCTCATCTACGGCAACAGATACAAGAACGCGAAGCTCCCCGATGCCTATGAGCGCCTCATCCTGGACGTGTTCTGTGGGAACCAGATGCACTTTGTGCGCAGTGACGAGCTGCGGCAGGCCTGGCGGGTCTTCACGCCGCTGCTGCACCAGATCGAGCGCGAGAAGCCGCAGCCCATCCCCTACGTTTATGGCAGCCAAGGTCCAGCGGAAGCAGATGAGCTGATGAAGAGAGTGGGCTTCCAGTATGGGGGCACTAACAAGTGGGTGACACCCCACAAGCTCTGAGCCCTGGGCCCCTCCCCACCCCCTGTTGTTTTCTGCCCTCCTCCTTTCCCCCCCGCCCCACCGCCTGACCCCACATGGAGGACTTCGGGACCATAGGCCTCAGCTTCACATTCCCGGCAGCGGGCCCAGCTACATTCCTCAACCACCGGCACTCGAGCTGTAACCATCCCTGGCCACCACTGGCCCCGCCTGAGCCAGCTTCTGTCTACGGGACTGAGCCCGAAGGGAAGGAAGAAGAATGGCCCTTCCGTTTGTCCCAGGCTCCTCCTAGGACAGGAGTCAGTGACGAGGGGGAGGATCAGTGGGTGGGCCTCACTGGGCCAGTGGCCAGCCGACCCCTCCACTGGCTGTGGGCAGGCTCCTCAGAGCCCGGGGAAGGGCGCCAGCGTGGCCATACCAGTCTAAGGGCCACTCTACATTCCTCATCACCCGCTGGAGGGGACTCCATGCTGCCCAGCAGTCGCCCATGTTTTGAGCCCCCTGACTGTCCCTGTGCCCTGCCAGGCCAACTCTGCACTCCATGGCCCACCCCCATAGGTGTCCCTCTTGCTACTAGAAAAGCAGAAGCAGCAGGTGGGATGCTCCACCTCCGCCCTTCCCATTAAATCCACAAACACACCTGGGAAAAAAAAAGAAAAAAAGAAAAAGGGAGTGACAGTTACATGGTGTTTATTTAATCAGGGGAAGAGACTCATCACTGTGACATCCTGTATTAGTTTTCTATTTCTGTGTAACAAAATGCCACAAATTTAAAACTCCATGGCTTAAAAACACCATTAACTCACAGTTCATAGGTCAGAAGTCCAGGCACAGGGTGGTTGCATTCTCTGCTCTGGGTCTTTTCCAGATACAGTATCTGCGTGATATCAAGATATCAGCAAGTGCCCCGCCAGCGTGGCTCAGTGGTTGAATGCCGACCTATGAACAAGGAGGTCACAGTTTGATTCCTGGTCAGGGCTCATGCCCATGTTGCAGGCTCGATCCCCAGTGTGGGGCATGCAGGAGGCAGCCAATCAATGATTCTATCTCATCATCATCATCATATCTCTCTCTCTCTCTCTCTCTCTCTCTCTCTCTCTCTCTCTCTCTCTCTCTCTCCTTCCTCTCTCTGGAGTCAATAAGAACATTTTTTTTTAAAGATGTCAACAAGGGCTGTGATCTCACCTGGGCTCAAAGTCCTCTTCCAAATTCACTGGGTTTGGGGCAGGATTACTATCCTGACAGCTGTAGGACTGAGAGCCCCATTTTCCTGTCGGCTGTGGACTGGGGACTGAGTTCAGCTCTTCTGAGCCACCCTTCTACACACACAGTTCACAGAATGAAGAAACATGTTGCTTTCTTCCAGGCCACCAGATGCATTTCTCTCATTTCCCCTCCTGAGATTGGCTCTGAAAATCCTCTGCTTTCAGAAAGCTCATGTGATGTGGTTAGGCTCACCAGCATAATCTCCCTTTCTTAGGATCAACTGTGTCATAGAACATAACTTCATCCGACAGGAAAATCCATCCCAGTCCCAGTGCCAGGAGGATGCGGGGGGGTGTCCACCAGGGACTGAAGTCTTGGGCGCCACCTGGGAGTTCCACTGGCCTGACTTGCTTTCACTACACCTGTCACTGGAGGAACAGCTGTACTTAAGGAGCAGGAGGAAGAAGAGGACCCTGAAAAGGAGATAGAGATAATCAGTCAGAGAAAAACTGGGAGGAACTGAAAAGTATGATTGACTCACATGAGAGGCAGGATAACATGATGATTAAGATCATAGGCCCTGGAGCTGGGCAGTTGCTCCACCATACACTCACCAGCTGTGTGCCTGCCTTTGGTCTAGGGACATTGACACTTTACAGTCACTTATCTGAAAGGGTTGCCAATGGCAATAGCTATCTCACAGCACTGTTGTAAAGATTAAATGAGTAGATGTATGTAAAACTGGTAGATAAATGTCTCAGAGAAAAATAAGCACAGTATAGGAGTTGACCAATATTTGAAAGGATTAAATTACTTTTGTATAATACTAGCCAGTCAAAAATATGATTGTCATTCTCACTGGAAAATGAAAAACAATTTTTTTAAGTCCTCACCTGAGGACATGTTTCCATTGATTTCAGAGAGATGGGGGGGTGGCGGAGGGGGGAGGGAGAGAAAGAGAGAAAAACATTAATTGGTTACCTCCCATAAGCACTCCAACTGGGGATGGAACCAGAAATCTAGGCATGTGCCCTGATGGGGAATTGAACCCACAACTTTTTGGTGTATGGGACAACGCTCCAATCAACTGAGCCACCTAGCCAAGGCAAAAAGTTATTTTTATATCATCAGTTCCCACCTAGCACAGCCCCAGTGACATAGTAGACCAGCGGTTCTCAACCTGTGGGTCGCGACCCCTTTGGCGGTTGAACGACCCTTTTACAGGGGTCGCCTAAGACCATCCTGCATATCAGATATTTACATTACGATTCATAACAGTAGCAACATTACAGTTATGAGTTAGCAAAGAAAATAATTTTATGGTTGGGTCACAACATGAGGAACTGTATTTAAAGGGCCAGAAGGTTGAGAACCACTGCTTTGGTATGTGGGCCAACACTCTAACCACTGAGCCATTGTCAAGTATTAGGTAGCTAGCCTAGTTCCTTTTCCTGTATTAGCTTTTATTGTTGAAGCTCAAAAATGTCTAAACGTCTCTGGTATCAATGGTATGTGAAAACATAAACTACAAAGAAAGAGGTTATTATGGCATTAAAATTCCAGATACTCTGAGATTCAAACTCTTTGTAATGTCATAATATTGTAAGAGATATTGGGAAGGACAGAAAGTACGGAGAACTCACTCTTGGTGCATGTCAGAGCTACACACGGTTCAGGATCCAGAAAGTCTAGAATACTGTTGCACTATTTTCTGCTGATAAACACGGGAGGGGCTAGAGAAAGCGTCCGAAGGTTGAATATCACAGAAGTGAGTCTGTTGTTTGGAACACAGCTGCCTGCTTAAACTTGATCTTTAGACACTAGCTCACACTCTACCTGTTGGCATTTTGTGGCCTTACTACTGAAGAGAAGACTACTTTGAGAACAGTCTTAAATCTTCCATGTATAAATTAGTGCTGTTTGCATTTACTCTCAGGGAGGTAGCTTCGTCCACCTTTAAACAGAAAGAAAAGAAATGAAATATCTTAAAGAAAAATGACCTTTTAAGTATGCCTACATAAAAATAGAAGTTTTTAAGAGGCATGGGATGAAAAATGGACCTGAGTATTAAAACTACATTAATATGCTTGAGAAATAGAAAGACAGGTAGTTTTTTCACTTGACTGCTGCTAATGCCAAACCAATGTTTTTAATATTAACAGCATTGAGAAAATGTGAAATAAAGCTGTGAATGCTCATGTCAGTCACGTATTTCCACCTTATTTTTCTACATTCTTTTTTTTTTTTAATTCTCACCCAAGAATATTTTTTCTATTGATTTTTTATTAGAGAGAGTGGAGAGAAGGGGGGGGGGGAGAGAAACATTAATGTGAAAGAGACACTTCAATTGGTTGCCTCCCTTATGTGACCCGACCAGGGCTGGGGATCGAGCCTGCAACCGACTGAGGTACATGCCCATGACTGGGAATCAAACCTACACCGCTTAGTCCACGGACCGATGCTCCAACCACTGAGCCAAACTGCCCAGGCTGTTTTTCTACATTCCTAACAGCCATTCTGCACCAAAGCAAAAATAAAAATAAAAATCCTTCTTGTGTTTCCAACTTTTCATCTTGGTTTGGAGGTTCTCCAGGAGGCATTTCTTGAAAGCAGGCTACTCTCAAACTTTAAAAAGATGCTTGAAAGATGTTGTTCTTTTTTTTTTTTAATAAATCTTTATTGTTCAGATTATTACAGTTGTTCCGCTTTCTTCCCCCCATAGCTCCCCTCCACCCAGTTCCCACCCCACCCTCTGCCCTTACCCCCCGCCCACTGTCCTCATCCATAGGTGTACGCTTTTTGTTGCCGGGTCAAAAGTCATACACATGGAAAATGTAGCTATTTCCATCCACAACGTGTCCCTGTGTTCGGAAAGGTCTCTCACGACTTGTTCACTCTCTACTCAGAAAGGGTACGGAGACACGTAACGGCTTTTTAAAATAATGTATCCTCTTATGTTTAAAATGAGGATTTCGCTACCAAAAGTGAGGAGAAAGCAACACTACAGCCGCTCTCACCCCTCTCGCCCTTCAGGTGATAGTTGTGCGTGGGGCTGCGAGCTGGTTCGCGGGCCGTTGACAAAGCTGTCTGGGCGGCTCGTGCGGTTCGCGGTTCCGCCGGCTTCCCAGGGGCCATCGCAGCCTTGCAGGGGTCGTCTCAGCCTCACGCAGCCTCACTAGGGCCATAACAGCCTCGCATGGGACATCACAGCCTCACAGGGACCGTCGCAGCCTCGCAGGGGCTGTCGCAGCCTTGCAGGGGGCGCCGCATCCCACATTGGGGGTGAAGGTGCGAGTCAGAAGCTCCTCTTGCTGTCTTTCCTGCTGCTCCCTTGTGTATCGCCGATGCTGTAAGATTCTGAGAGCAGTCTGCAGGTGCTGGACATTATACTTTAACTGGTCATCACGAAGTTTGGCATTCTGTCTTTTGTTGGGAGGCTCCTTGCTGGACAAAATCTCCAGGTGTTCTAGCTGGCTGAATATCTGGTATACTTGCTTGGATTTCGTTTTCTACTAAGTGCACAGACTGCTTGTCTGCCATCTCCCGGCGTCCATGTGAGACTGGATCTGGTGGACCTGCTTGTGCGTTTGCTGGTACAGAGGTTCCGTGTCGCCGGCCCAGCTGGGTCCGGCTCTGGCTTCCTCCGAACCTGAGTCTGCTTCTTCAGTGTGTCCCTTATGGATGCGAGGAGTTGAAATCTGCAGTTTGTTGGGTTAGGCTGCAAAAGCACAGGTGGTTCCTTTTGTGCCACTGGCACAGCTTGGGTGGGGATGTAAATTGAGTAGGGCAGGGTCTCAGAGAATCACCAGGGTGGAGCAAACAGCAATGGTTGTCGTCAGCATTTCTGCAACTCCTTGCCTCTCTGCGACTCTGCATCTCCGTGTCCCCGAGTGCCGTGCCCCCACAGCAACAATGATCCCTGCGAGCAGCTCTGCGAGAAAGCCACCCTCGCTCTCCCACCCACTGCAAGACAGTCCTACCTCTCCCCGTAGGGGTCTGGGACCTCAGAATCTTGCCCCAAACAAGCTCAGTGGATTCGAGAGATTGTATCCCCTTCCGATTGAAAACAAATGCGCATCCAGTTGCAGCCTGCCTGGCGCGCGCCTCCGTACCTCTGTTCTTGGCGCCTCTGCACCTCCTACTCAGTCTCAATGTGCTTCTTTCTTTCCTTCCAGTTGTAGAACTTCCACTGGGCCAGCTTTCCCATGGTTCTGGATGATAGCTGTTTTGTCTTATAATTGGTAGTTTCAATGTTGTTGTGGGAGGCAGCACGCACAGGTCTATACCTTATGCCACCATCTTGGTTCCAGATGTTGCTCTTTGTAGTGTTGTGAAAGGAGATGACTGAGTATGGCTAAGGAAGGAAAACTCAGCAATTCATTGCACATGCATTTGTTGAGCACCAACAATAGAGTAGGCAGTAAAGTACCACGTAGCAATTTCGAGCTAGTGGTGATTTTAGCTATGCCCCTCTGCCCAGAATACTTTTCTCAATGATTCAGGTTAAACCCTCTAGAATCCAGGAGGGAAGGAGAAGGGAGAATCCTTATTTGAGACAGACTTCCATGGGGCGACAGTGCTACTCCTCTTGGGGATGTAATATTATGTTCTTCAAGTGTTCTGGAGTGAAAATGAGCTCGGGCCTCCGGATGGGTCCCCACCGAGGTAACAATGCCCACAACTCCAGGACATGGAGACAGAGCAACTTCTCTTCACCCTAGACCAAAGTCCTCTTTCCTGAGATAAAATTGCCATGATGTTTCTTGGCCTGTGTTTCTGGAAAAGAAGAATTCTTTTCAAATTTTGACACCTGCTGACTTTTGTAGAGAAGATGGTAAGGTTTTAACAATTATACTTTTTCCTCTCACAGTTTGTAAACTCTTCTCTGTGATGCAGGGGCGTGGACACCTGAAATGCCCTTTCCCCAGGTTGGGATTTAGTGGTGTGGCTGTTACTTGGGGCATCCCTAAATGAGTGGCAGGTGCTATACCTTAGCCAGCACCATCTCCCAAGGCCCTTCGTTTTTCAATAGGGTGGGCTAAACCCTGGAGCAGCAGCCTGAAATCCACAGAACAGGCTCAAACCGAGATTAGACACTGAGTCACAAAGCCACAGTCTCCTCAGATCCTTTTGGGGGCTTGCAGGAAAGGAGTAGAGGGAGGACAGGAGCATGGCTCACCGATTTAGCTTCAGCTGGCAGCTCCCTCATTTCCAGATTACAAGAACCACTACACATTGTTTTGTCTCTGGATTCAAGGCTGATCAAGAGCATTAGTAACCAGAGCTTTCATGCGATGCTTTGACTGAGCTAGGGCATTGCAAAATGTAATACCCTGCTTTTTTGTAAGCAGTTGCTTGCTATAGCTTCAATTCCAGAGTGCATTGTTTGTCCACGTACCCCAGTGTTCCTAAAGTAACGGTTTAGATGAAATGAGAGCCAACTGCTAGCATAACTCACCAGTAAGGCAGAAGAAACCTCTGGAACGCGAAGGCAGTTGGCATCTTCCACAGGTGAAGGGGAGCTCTGAGTTTCATTTATAGCCTTTGGGTGATCATTTAATACCGCAACTGTTTAACCATAAAGGTCAGGGATTCAAAGACATCCTTCAGGCACAATCTTATTTCCATATTTTCATTATTACTTCTCTCTAATTTTGCTTTTCTCTTGTCACTGAAAATTTGAAAATTTTAAAATTAAGAATGTAATAACTATCCATTTTCTCCCTAAAAATACACATCTAGAAAGAGATCTAGAGATTAGATTTCATCAAGCCTTTTTCATAGATTTTCATTTATTTATATATTTTTTATAAATGAATGAGAACAGCAGATGACAGCTGTTGTGTTTTTAATTTGTAAATCATGTCCTCTTCTAGAAAGTCACTGGCATTTCTTCAAGGACCAAACTGATGCCAAATTACTTTCATGTGTATCAGCTCATGTATTATGTAAATGTTCATACCTGTAATACAAAAATATATCAACTTTCTCTTGTGTAGTATTCTTCACTGTCTAGAAAGAATCAGATAAGTTGTTTTCTAAACTCGAGAGACATTCTTCAAGGCCTTAAGAAAATAGGTGCCAACTAGACATGATAACAAAGAATCCGACAGAGTAAAATGTAGTGGCAATTAAAATCACTATGATTTATGGAAAATGTGATTCTCAAAAAAAATTACAATTTTTCTAATCTTAAAATCTTGTTTAGTTTGATTCAGTTATTCATGAATGCTCAGCATTGATGCTTCAGTAAGCTTGTCACTTTATGAAATGCCCATTTCCCTGAAAACTTCTTGATTTGAGGGGAGAGTGTAGGTTATATTATGCAATCAGTTCCCTCGTGATCATGGATAGGGAGGGGGAGTCAGAGAGAAGGATGAAGGATGACACTTTTTTTTATTGGCTTGAGTAACGGGAATAATGGTTTGGAGCAGTTTTGGGATAATATCAAATGCTTAATTTGACAGTATTACCTTGAAATGCCTGTTGGCCATACAGGCAGAGATATCAAGAAGGCATTTGGATATGTATCTGATCTTCAAAAGATTCAGGCTGAAAATATAAGTGTGGTAATAGTGACTGATATTGAATGTGTGTGTGTGGATTAGAAGATGTTGGTAAGGTGAGGAATAAGGGTCAGAAGGAAGGGCACAGGTATACTGCTCCAGGTTGTTAGAAGTGCCATTTTCTGTTAGGAAATACAGATAAGATAGAGAGATATTTGGTTTTCTGTGTGTTTATTATAGACATTTATTTAACTTGAACTGGAGATAATCCAGGAGACTATGTAGTCTAATTTGATTCTTTTTTTTTTTTTGAGACTTTAAAGTTTTTATTATTTTATAGTATGTCATGCCTTGCATAGAATGACCACAAAGCAACATGCCTTCCTGGCCACATAATTTACTAACAGGGCATGGTGAGAAGGCTGGAACTCCCAGACATACAATGTAGCCCACTGGAAAGAATGGAGGGAGGAAAGGGAGAGAAGGGGACAGAGGAAGAAGTAAAGATAAATGTTTATCTCTTCTCTGTCATTCTAAGAGCGATGAATACATGACAACATAATTTCTGATTCATGGTCATTGTCTTTATAGGAAAAGAGCTTTCTTTCTTCTTTCTTTTCTTTCTTTCTTTCTTTCTTTCTTCTTCTTTCTTTCTTTCTTTCTTTCTTTCTTTCTTTCTTTCTCTTTCTTTCTTTCTTTCTTCCTTCCTTCCTTCCTTTCTTTCTTTCTTTCTTTCTTTCTTTCTTTCTTTCTTTCTTTCTTTCTTTCTTTCTCTTTCTTCCTCCCTCCCTCCCTCTCCCCCCCTTTCTTTCTTCTTTCTTTCTTTCTTTCTTTCTTTCTTTCTTTCTTTCTTTCTTTCTTTCTTTCTTTCTTTCTTTCTTTCTTTCTTTCTTTCTTTCTTTCTTTCTTCTTTCTTTCGTTCTCCTCACCCAAGGATATTTTCCATTGATTTTTAGAGAGAATGGAAGAAAGAGGGAAAGACAGAGAGAAATATCGATGTGAGAGAAACACTTCGATTGGTTGCCTCCTGCACATACCGACCAGGGCCTGGGCCAAGGAGGAGTCTGCAACCGAGGTACATGCCCTTGACTGGAATCAAACCTGGGACCCTTCAGTCCAAGGGCCGACGCTCTATCTACTGAGCCAAACTGGCCAGGGCAGAAAGGGGCTTTCTTAGAAGTGCTAGAGCTATCAATAAATATTTGATCAATGCTCAAAGTTTTTATGGCCAAAATGAAATGAAAGAAAGATACTGATAAGCTCTATCTCCAAACCTTTGTCTCAAAGCAAACACCGAAAGAATAAGCACCAAATGAAAGGAAGGACCCAGAGAGGGATCACACCTGTGTCCCCGGGAGCCTACCCATGGGGCCGCTCACACCTGTCCTGTCTGCGATGAAGCCCTGTCCTGGACTTCCTGGGAAGGGGCCTGCTTCCTTGGGTCCCAGTCTGTGTCCGGGATGAATAACCCGTGGAGATCCAGGTGCATGTCCACATCAACATATGCGCGAGCTAGTTCTGCAAAAGTTTTGGCATCCAGAATAAGCAGAAAAGGCAGCTTTTGGGGATCGGAGGAGACAATGGCCGATAAGAGAATTCCGTCATCCTCCTCTTTGCCATCTGGTGTAGGCACAAACATGGGTTCCGACGGCCAGCAGTGCTGCTCCTCTCCCCATCTTAAGAACGACTTTGTGAGAATGTCATATTTTAGTATCTTGTTTGGGATGGGACTCCTTTGAACTTCAAAAGCAAGGACATACCGATATCGCTTCCCGTTGTGAGCATAACTGATCCGAGGCAGGTCTAAGCCTTCACAGAGCAACTCTGGTTGGCAGTAGACTTGGCCATCTTTTTCCTTCAGGGCTCTTGCTGTCGTAGATGCCAGTTTGATTAAATTTGAGCCCACTTCTGCATTCTTGTCCGTGCAGAGGGGCACGGCGAACCTCTTGAGGGTGGGGACAGGGACGATCCTGGAGTTCCCTTCGAAGCCTTGTTTCAGGTTGGCCAAGTAGAAGCAGTTGTACAGGCTGCTGTCCTCGTAGGCGATGACGTCAAACAGAAGGCAGCCGTCCTCTTCGTAGGCGTTGATGTGATGAAAGACCACCATAGGGTCCGTGTAAAACTTGGTGGACACGAGCTTCCCAGTCCTTTGGTTGACAATGTGAATGTAAGTCTTGTCCTTCCTGTGGAAAGCCAGGCAAGAAGCCCAGCTCACTCCCCGGATGTACGCAGTTGCCATCTTGAGAATATCCAACTTGAAGGGCTGCTCGAGAAAAATGATGTAGTTCTCGGTGACCCCGAAGCTGTGGTAATAGCTTGGGGAGAGGAGGGAGCGGGAGGGGATGGAGCAGAGCACCTCCGTGTGCTGCAGGGGGCTCTTCCTCTTCATCCTGTCTGGTGCTGCGGCAGGGATCTTAAAGATCACATATTTTGTCTTCCCCTTGTCCACAACGGATGTGCCTATGTTGAGAACATTTCCAGCCGAATCATAATGAGGATGTGCTGTTGCCAGATTTATACCCACATATTTACGATAATCAACCTTTTCCAGAGTTTCCAGAGTCTGTGGGTTGATTTTCCTGATGTAATTGGTCTCCGTGGTCACATAGACGTCTTCTCCACACTTCAAGAAGTTAATCAGGCAGTTGTCTGTGAAATCTGGGATGGTGTGGGACAAGTAGGTAAAAGCTTTGGACAATAGGTTTTTGCTGGGGTCTGGATAGGCCATTGTTCCAAACTCTGACACCACAATCCTGTTTGCCTCCATATTGGCGTTGTAGGTGTCACTTCTCAGGTATCTGCTCCTGTAATAGACTTCACCATCTCTAATTGTGAAGCTGTGGAGCAAGGCTAGGCCATCAAACCAATGGTTGTATCTGGTCTCCCCCACAGTGTGCTTCCCAGGCCCATTTCGAAGCAGTGTTCCCTGTAGCCAGGTTGGGATCTTGCCTGTCACTTTGGCCCTCACAGGCTCTGGTTGTTCTTTCTTATTTCTGCCAAATAGTACCTCCATCGCACAGGCCCCAAGGGAGAGTGACATTGACAGTGAGCAGACGCTCCTCTGTGTTCAAGGCGACTGCTCCCTGGCTCCTCCTTGCGCCTCCGGCAGCTTCCCTTCTGGTGTGCCCTGTTTCTCCCTTGGCTTTTCCCTCTCTCTAATTTGATTCTTTTATAAGTGCAGAAGCTGAGGTTCCAGAATGGCTAGCTTGAGTTAAATTAGGTAGCTATAGAGAAGACTATAAAAATAAAAGGCACAGCTCCCTAATTCTGATGTTGACCAGTCATCCCTAAACATAAAAAGGAAAAACAAAAACTTGAGTGGTCACATTGGCTCTAAGGTTAAGTGGGAATTCTTATCTATTTGGGGGAAGGATGTGATGTCCAGTGTGGATTAAGACTCTCCCAATATTTTCAGGCTCAGCATTTTATTTTATTTTTTAAATCCTCACCTGTACATGCCCTTGACCGGGAACTGAACCCGTGACCCTTCAGAACTCCAGGGTGACAGTAAGGGCTCAGAGAAAGGCTTTATGGTGTGTCATTGGAGGCTGAGTTTCTTGCCAGTCAGGATTTCCTTATCATGCAAAAGAGCAAGCCATCTGTCATTAAGGTCCTAGTTCAGGACCATAATAGTTGACATAAGGAGTCTTCTTCCTTTCACCCCAAGACAATGTATGCAAGCCACTGATTTTTTTTTCACTTTTATTTATTTATTTATTTTATTTCTTTATTAAGTTATTACATATGTGCCCTTATCCCCACATTACCACCCATCCCCCCCCACTCATGCCCTCACCCCCCTGTTGTCTGTGTCCATTGGTTAGGCCTATATGGATACATACAAGTCCTTGGGTTGATCTCTTCCCCTTACCTCCACCCTCCCCTACCTTCCCTCTGAGGTTTGATGGTCTGATCGATGTTTCTCTGTCCCTGGATCTGTTTTTGTTCACCATAGCTAAGATTTGGAAACAGCCTAAGTGCCATCAGTAGATGAATGGATTAAAAAACTTTAGTACATTTATACAATGGAATACTATGCTGCGGTAAAAAAGAAAATTCTTACCATTTGCAACAGCATGGATAGAACTGGAGAGCATTATGCTAAGCAAAATAAACCAGTCAGAGAAAGATAAATATCACATGATCTCACTCATTTATAGAATATAATGAACAGCATAAACTGATGAAGCCTCTGATTTTTGTGTGACCTTCAGAAGCAACCCTATTAATGGCTACAAACCTGTTGAGAAGTAGGTTCAGAGATAAGATTAACTTCATTCAAATGACAAAAGTTTTCAAACTTAGAGTCATAGCAGTGATTGCCTGATGTTGGTGAATTGTAGCAAGCTTTTTAGAAAAATGCAAAGAACACAGCAGGAGTGAGCAGGAACCCAGAGGAACCTAAATTCATCATCCACCTTCCCGCAGAGTCGGGCTCCATCTCTAAGGTTCCTCTGGGTTCCTGCTCACTCCTGCTGTGTTCACAGCTATTTCAAGTCCTTCAACAATGCCTGCTGCACAGGATTGCTGGGAGATTGAATGGCAAACTGTGCCTTGTATGTGGTTAACATTCTATAAAAAGAACTGATTACCATTCTGTCAGTCTAATATCCAAGAAGCATTACTTCACCATAATGGTTAAGGCCAAAGTTCATCCAAGTGCTGATTTCAGACAGCTGTGTGCTAAGAGCCAAAACATGTTATGAAATGTGGAAAGTTATCAGTGCACTTTGAACCTCGGTTATCTCACTGAAGTTTCACTATCCGCTTTCTCCTAGCCTTTCTCCTCATGGCTCCACTGGGCAAACTGGAACAGGTATATCTTAACTAAAAGAATAATCAATTACATTTACTTCAAAATGATTTAGAAGCTGACTGTACAGACTTCTAGTGTCATTCTCATAGACTAGAGGCCCGATGTACGAAATTCTTGCAAGGCCGGGGGCCTCTGCTGCCTCTGCCTCGGCCCCCGCCCACTGCAGCTTTGTCCAGAAGGAAGGACATCTGGAAGGATGTCTGGTCTAATTAGCATATTATGCTTTTATTATTATAGATACTCTAGTAGGGTACTACTACAGTATGACAAATGTATGGAGAGGAATCGAAGTCACAGTATTCAAACGGAATGATGATTTGGAAAGCAGGCATTTTTACTGAGATGTGTCTTTACTCCAACTAAATGTTGAACACAGCCCAACAGTAATTGTGTTTTGATTCTCTATATTAGAGGAAAGTAGTTGATGGACAAAAGGGAGACATTTATGTAGGAATGATACCTTCTGAAATTCTCTTTTATGGTATAGAATCTATAGAATAACCTTCCTTAAACAGACTGTCATATGGTCCTTAGAATCTGCAGTGGCATTGATATTACTTGTTCAATGAGTGTTTAAGATAGCACCCGACATATGTTGAATAAATATTAATTCCTGCTTATAAAATGGATCAAAATCTTTTACCATGAAGTGTCTGAACCTAAATGTGTTTCATTTGCTACATTTCACAGGGATCAGTTACTCAGGTTTATGTTTTCTGAGTATGAACTTTCTGATATAAGAACAAAGTTCTTCACTTCATATGTATGTTCTTTACTTGATGTGTCTAACACAGTCTTGAAAATATTTTTTTTAATAGAAATCCAACAAACCTGCTTATTTTTTCAATTTATAAGTCTGAACTTATATTACCATCTCACTGAGTCTCACATCTGAGATATTTCCAGCCACTACAAAACAAAACAAAAAATAAACAAGACCTTTGAGTACATAATACATTTTCCTTTCAGTTGAAGATTAAGCCATGTTTTATTCAAAACACAAAGATGGAGGCACCACAAGTTTAAGTTTGATCCATTTATTGTTTGGTCACTTATGGGTACATCCTTACATTTCTCTACCTGAAATCCCAATGATGTTTTTTTTATTTGCAACATGTGTCCACCTCCAGTTTCCCTGTGCTGAAATGTTTGTCATTGAAATATGAGGTATCTCTGAGGAAACAGTGGTGATGTGTAAGATGAAATGTTTGAACATTTCTTACATCACGTAAAAATTCCTTGTGAAATGCTACTAGATACAGTCCTTCATTATATTTAAAGAGCTTGAAATTTCCATTTTATGTACAATAGGGAAAAGAAACACGTGAATTATATAAAATTTAAGTGTAATTAAAAATAAAATGTATCTTAAGCATTTATAGTACAAATTTTGCAAAACTTCATATGAGCCACGCAATCTTAGAAATTATTGTAAAACTGCTTTTGTTCTTTTTTCTCCATTTCCCATAAGGCAATTGCTCAGGCATTTTTCTCTTTGTAGTATATGAAATTAGCCTTCAGCTAAAGAACAGTGATAATAAATGAGGACCGCCAGAGCCTCAAAAGGTGATATTGAAGGGGAAAAAAAGATAAAAGCAGAAGTTCAAACATTAAAATTCTAATTAACATTGGATGGAATCAACTTAAACCTGGTAAATCAATTTCCAAAAAACCAAGTACTTATTCTCCTTTACTTTTATATCCAATAACTGCGTCAAACCTAACATTGATCTTCCGTTTTAAAACTGCCAGGAAACGCTCAGGAAAGATCCTAAAAGAAAGATATATATATATATATATATATAAATATAATTACTATCAAGTGCATTTTTAAGATATCTTCTCTTAAAATACTTTTATCATGCATCATGTCCATGTTCATTTTAAACAAGATTAAGAATTTTAACACATAGTCACTGCTATATGTTCTTTCCAATTAAATCCATTTTCTTTTCATTAAGGAAAAGAAAGGTTTAACTCTTTAGAGTAGAAGTGACTTGAAATATTTGTTTTTAAAAATAAATATATTCTATATTTTTCAAAAGATCTGTGAGAGGTGTATAGAACTGAATAGTTGAGATGCTAAAGGCTTTATTAAAAAAAAACAACACACCTGACATTAGAAAAGAAGTGAGAATAGGAACTAATTTTATACTTTACAATCCAGTATATTATCAAAATGGCCCACTAAGAGACTGGGGAATCAGAACTGCTCAATAAAATGCAGACAATACACTTGGTTTTCAGTATAATGCTGAACAAGTTATTTAACTTTTGAGTTTAAATTCCTCACACGTAAATGGAAAAAATTAACACCTACCCCACAGTATTATTTGAAGATTCAATGTGTTAATATAAGATGCCTTACACACAGTGATAGACATCCAGTAGGTCTAATTTTTTTCTCCCCACTCTACAGTTAAAAATATTGAGGAACAGGTCATATTCCAATGAGTCTGAGAGAAACTAAAGAGACTATGTAAGTCAGTAAAACTATATACAGACATCTGCCTGGATGGCATTCAAATACAGTTTGGAAATTGAGCACTGAACACTCATGGTCAGAGGAAAATCAGGCAATGGTAATAGTGGTAATTATAAAAGTAACAATGATAGGTAACATTTATTGAGTATTACATGGTACTTAATACTTTAAATGCTTTATTTTATTTATTCCTCATAACCCGATAAGTCTTATTGTTGCCTCCATGTGACAGATGAAGAAACTGAGCTTCAAAAAAGTTCATGTTCACGTTGTAAGCAAGTCACACAAACACAGCTTCGCCTAACTCCAGAGCACAAACCTTGAGTCTCTGTGTTAAAGGTTTCGGAAACAGAATTAGCTTATTCAATCAGCAAACATTTTGATGCCTGGAATGTGTCTGTCTACTCTTCCAAGTGCAGGGGATATAGTGAGGAAAACAGGCCAAATTCCTTCCCTCACAGAGTTATATTCTAAAGCATTGTAATCACTGAGTGCCTACTTCAGTGATGTGACAAGTCGAATGCTAAACACCTCAAAGGTTTTAACTTGTTTACCCACCAAGGAGATGCTCTGGCTTTACTACCGAAACCTGTAAAGTATGTTCAACCATAGTCCCTTAGCAGAAGGGGCTAAAAACCTGACTTCTGCCCTAATGCTTTTGGTCTCTTACATTTTTTTCTGTCTCTAGGTCTGTAGTTCTCAAAGTATGATCTTTGAACCAACTGCTTGTGGCAATTGCCTGTTAAAATACAGATTTCTGGGTCCCAACTCAAACATCCTATATTAAAAACTTAAGAGGTGAGGAATCTATTTTTTAAATATATATGATATTTTTTAAATTTTCTCTTAGAGAGGGAGGAAAGAAACATCAATTGGCTGCCTTCTGCATGTCATCTACTGGGGATTGAGCCCGCAAGCTGGGTATGTGCCCTGACCAGAATCAAACCAGTGACCTTCTGGTGCACCGACCAGGGCAGGAATCTATTTTTTAAATTGACTTCCCCAGTGGTCCTGATACTCTACTACGAGGGAGAAGCTGGACTCTAGGAACAGGAAGAGTATTTTTGTTTTTTTTTAACCTTAGCCGCCTCTTCCGTTTCCCCTCATTACCTGACCAGCCTCACTGTCACACAGCTTTCCCAGATGAGTGATGAGACAATGTTTATGATGAGGCATTCTTTAAACCAAAGCGTTCCAATCTTGACATTACATTAGAATTACCGGGAAAGTGTTGTATCTCTCAGACACCAGGCCACACTCCAGACCAATTAACTCAGAATCTTGGGGAGTAGGTCTCAGGCACGAGCATGTTTAAAACTCCCAGGTGAATTCCAATGTGCACCTAAGTTGAGAGTTACTGCTCTAAAGAAATGCTTTTAAATCTAATATGCATGCAGATCACCTGTGGATCTTATTAAAATGCAAATTCTGATTCAGGAGATCAGGAATTCTGTATTTCTAATAAGCTCCCAGGTGATGTGGATGCTGCTGGTCCGTGGACCACATCTGAGGTAGCAAGGCTCGAGGACCTCTACAATTATTTAGCAATTCCTGTGCTTCAGTATGATTTTGCACAAAAATAAGGGCTCAATGATTATCTGTTGTATATTTAAATCCTATATAATAAAAGGCTAATATGCAAATTGACTGAATGGCGGAATGACCAGTCGCTATGACACACACTGACCACCAGGGGGCAGACGCTCAACACAGGAGCTACCCCTTGATAGTCAGTGTGCTCCCACAGTGGGAGGGCCGCTCAGCCAGAAGCTGGGCTCATGGCTGGTGAGCACAGCGGCGGTGGTGGGAACCTCTCCTGCCTCTGCGGCAGTGCTAAGGATGTCCGACTGCTGTCAGTCAGACATCTCCCAAGAGCTCCTGGACTGAGAGAGGGTGCAGGCCTGGCTGAGGGGACTCCCCCCGCCCCCCCGCGAGTGCACAAATTTCATGCACTAGGCCTCTAGTGAATAAATAAAACTTAACTATGGTCTCCTCCAATATCATTGTCCTATTATGTACTAATGTTTAAAAATAGTCTTTCTTCATATTTATTCATTTATAAGACTTCCAAAATATTTTTAAAAATTAAATATAAAAAAATTTAAAGAAATTTCTTTAAAAAAAAACACATGTAAAAACTTGTGGAAGCCCTGACCAGTTTGGCTCAGTGGATAGAGCATCGGCCTGCAGACTGAAGGGTCCCAGGTTCAATTCCGGTCAAGGGCATGTACCTTGGTTGCAGGCACATTCCCAGTGGGGAGTGTGCAAGAGGCAACTGATCGATGTTTCTTACTCATCGATGTTTCTAACTCTCTATCCCTCTCCCTTCCTCTCTGTAAAAAATCAATAAAATATATTTTTAAAAAACCCAAAAAACTTGTGGAAATTATTCAGTTCATTTACCCAATTGCTACACTAATCTTGCTTCAATAACTAACAAATGTAGTTTAAAAATTGGTGGATTCTTTAAACCTATTATTTTTGTTAATTCCATTTCATTGTACTCTACAAAGATTTGGTCTTAAATCTGAGTAAAAACATGTAGGGTGAATATTCATAATGCTGGCAAACATAACTGTTGCTTACCTTTCCACCACTGTTATAGCGCTTATAGAAGATGGAACAAAAATCATTTTCTGGTTTGTCAGGACTCCCTTCATCAGCTTGCTCACCACTTCCTCAGGTTCCAGGGTGGGTCCCAAACTGAAATCAGAAGCAAATCATTTCACAGAGGCTTCAGCTTTAGTTTAGTGCTAAACAAATACGTTATGTTACTATGGAAACTGTAACCTAACTGACTTGTGGCATCTAGCCCATTCTAGATACTCAAAGATGGTAGCTGTTTTGGCCCTAATAACAACAACAACCATTTACATAGTGTTTATCATGTACTGCCCACTGTGCTAAACATTTTCCACAGGTTATCTCCTTGAAGTTTTACAACACCCTATGAAGGAGAGGCTATAGTCCCTATTATGCAAATGAGGAGTATAAAGGTAACTAAGACTCAAAAAATAATTTAGCTAGATTAAGACTGATAAATTCACTTTTAAATCTTTAGAAGCTTTGAGAAAGAAGTCAGACATCATTATGCAAGTGTTATTATATACTAAGATGTTTTAGTGAATAATTTCTTAAGTGTCAAGGAATTAAAATACAGGAATGTGTCCGGCTCTGGGTCCTTGATGTCTATATGGAACCCTAATATGGCTTTGATGATCTAACTTCACCACTTTATTAGGTCTTTGTTTCATTTCCAGAGTTTTTACTTAGTTCCATGTTACATCTTCACTGTGTAATCAACCACCCTGGTATATGTTCTACTGAGTAGCATGCAATCCCTAAAAAGTGACCTTTGTTATCTGGGTGTTAGAATAAATGCACTTAGGATGGAGTTGCACAAGAGTTTGTCCTGAGTCTTTAACATTTTACTAATGATTTAGAAAAAAAGATACATAATTAAATAAACTTCTCAAATTTGCCAATGTCACCAAACTGGGTGACTAACATTTTGGGGACACAGATGTTAAATTTTGTGATTAGTTAAGAGAAATGAGACAAAAAGAATTGGATGAGATTCCTTATGAACAAATACAGAATAGCCCATTCAGACAGATAAAATATGCAGTAAAGGTGGGACAAATGAGAAAAGTAGTATTGTACCCAGCTGGTGTGGCTCAGTGGTTGAGCTTAGACCTATGAACCAGGAGGTTGCAAGCTTGATCCACAGTAGGGGCATGCAGGAGGCAGCCTATCAGTGATTCTCTCTCATCATTGATGTGTTCTCTCTCTCTCTCTCTCTCTCTCTCTCTCTCTCTCTCTCTCTCTCTCTCTTTCTCTCTCTCTCTTTTTCCCTCCCTCCCTCTCTCCCCTTCATTCTCTTAAAATCAATAGAAAAAGTATCTTCAGGTAAGGATTAACCAAAAAGAAAAAAGAATAAGGCGAGGGAGCTCTTTATATATCAACACAGAAAGCTAACAACAGCATATTGGTTTTTATTTTTGTGTGTGTACTTATGGTATTTTTCCTTTTTAGTAAATTTTATTTTTCAATTATAATTCACATTCACTATTATTGTGTATTAATTTCAGGTGTACAACATAGCGGTTAGACAATCATATAGTAATTTACAAAGTGTTCCCCCCAATATTTCCAGTACCCACCTAGTGCCATACATAGTTATTACAATACTAGAGGCCCAGCGCACGACTTAAATCGTGCGAGGAGGTGCCTGCCTCCCGCTATGCGAGGAGGCACCCCACAGGCCACCGCAGGAGTCAGGCTGGACTGTTGCCACAGGCAGCCGGGACCTGTGCCTGACTTCCGCCCCAGGCCCTCCTGGCTCCCCAGCTGTGTCCGCTCTGGGCCCCGGAGTCACCACACCGGCTCGGGCAGGCCCCCCTGTCTCTGTCTCCATCTCCACTCTGGGCCTCACCTGCGTGTGCAACCTCCTCCTGTCTGGTTGTGACCCATTACGGTGTCCTGGCCTAATTTGCATGTTACCTCTTTATATATATAGATTATTGACTATATTTCTTATGCTGTATTTTACCTCCCATGACTACTTTGAAACGACCAATTTGTACTTCTTAATTCCCTCATCTTTTTTTTAAATATATATTTTATTGATTTTTTACAGAGAAGAAGACAGAAGGATAGGGATTTAGAAACATCGATGAGAGAGAAACATCGATCAGCTGCCTACTGGGGATGTGCCCACAACCAAGGTACATGCCCTTGACCGGAATCGAACCTGGGACCTTTCAGTCCGCAGGCCGACGCTCTATCCACTGAGCCAAACTGGTTAGGGCTCCCTTACCTTTTTAACCCAGTTTTGTTTTCTTATATTCTTTAGTTCCACATATACGTGAAATCATGTTATTTGTTTTTGACTGACTTATTTCACTTAGCATAATACCCTCCAGAAGAATCCATACTGTTGCAAATGGTAAGATTTCATTTTTTTATGGCAAGTAATATTTCACTGTATATATGTACCAGAGCTTTTCTACCCACTCATCTATTGATGGGCGCTTGGGTTGCTTCCATATCTTGGCCATTGTAAATAACACAACAACAGCATATTGTTAAATAACAAGGGCAGCTTACAGAATAGAATGTATGTTTCCATGTACCAGAAAAAGAAATGCATTAAATTAAGAAGTGTAGACTCTTAAATTGGGAAGCTATAATTTTCTTAATTCTTCCAAGTTACTATTTGTCCATAAAATGAGCATAGTATGCTTATCTTGCAGAGCTGTTAGAAGGATTAGGGCAGGGTTAGGCAAACTATGGGGCCAAATTTATGAGAAGTAATTTATGTAAAGTATCCAGACCTAGTAGGGTACCTGTACTTAGTAGGCCTTCAATAAATACTTTTAATAAAATGATCTCTTGATATCCAAGTTCATTTAACAAAAATAATTCTTAGCAGTCAAAAATTAGTCAGAACACCTGATTACACTTAATTCCAATAATACAGTAAATTATAAATTTATAAATAGCAAACTAGTTTCTCTATAGTGTTCTAGATGTGTAAATATAAGAACCAACAGCCCTGGCTGGTATGGCTCAGTTGGTTGGAGCATCATCTAGTACACCTAAAGGCTGCAAGTTCAATTTCTGGTCAGGCACATACCTAGGTCGCAACTTTGATACCCAGGGGGACTCGTACAAGAGGCAATTGATTGATGTTTCTCTCTCACATCAATGTTTCTCTCTCTCTCTCTCTCTCTCTCTCTCTCACTCTCTTTCCTTCCCTCTCTTCCTCCCTACCCCTCTCTCTGCCTTCCTTTCTCTCTAAAAACAATAAACATATCTTTAGGTGAGGATTAAAAAAACAACAACAATAAACTACACCTTTGATGTACTTTAAAGGAGAATTTCAGTTCCAATATTAGTAAGACACAAATTATTTTGAATAGTCATTTAGAGGTTGATTCAGTTTCCTTCTTTCAGAAAGGTTGTCCTCTGTGCAAAAAGGAAAAAGTTTGGTCTGTATCTCAGTTCTGCTACTTTTACAGGCAAGTTACTTGATCTCTCTGTGCAAAATGTTGTGGTGAGGTTTAAGAAAATTACAGATTTGCCCAGCTGGTGTGGCTCAGTGCTTGAGCATTGACCTATGAACCAGGAGGTCATGGTTTGATTCCTGGTCAGGGTACATGCCTGGGTTGCAAGCTTGATCCCCAGTAGGGGGCGTGCAGGAGGCAGCCAATCAATGATTCTCTGATTCACTGATGTTTCTACCTCTCCCTCCCTCTCCCTCTCTGAAATAAATAAAATTATATTTTTAAAAAAGAAAATTACAGATTTTATTTAGTGTACAAAATATAAACTAGTAAGATCTGTCTGTCCTCGAATCAGAGCTAAATTTCTAGATTAAAACCAACTTCACCTTAGGCATCCACTCTAGTATCTGGTTATCTTCAAAGGGGTTCATGGGGCAGGACCAAGCCCCAGACCTTTTCTTAGCCAGGTCATATTCCTGTGACTCGGTTAGAATCCTGTGGGCTTCTATTCATTTCCCCCCGCCCAACCCCCCACCCCTCCAGCAAGCTTCCCAGTTATTTTTCAATTGTACTAGTAGAGCTTTGCCAAAAGAGGGCACCCCAGCCCAGACCTACTGACACTGAACCTGCATTCAGAAGATCTTCGGGAAAACTGAGAGGTACATTCAAGTCTAAGCTTTGTGCAGCCCTGTTCTGGGGGCAAGGGTAAAAAATCCAATTATAATTTTTAAAAATATGCTGTCTGTTTTTAACTGCTGAAAGACAGTTTGAGAAAAACTTGACTCAAATATATTATTTTAGTACCTAAATTCTGAAATAATGGAGGAAATTGGCAAATTCTATCCTTGGGTATGATACCTCTTCCTCTGACACCCCCTTTCAATTTAGTGAACTATTTGAATTAATTTTTATTGAGACATAATTGAAATATCACATGGTGTAAGTTTAAGGTGTACTACGTGTTGATTTGATATAGTTTCATATTGCAGTATGATTATCACTGTAGCATGAGCATAATTATGTCATGTCACATAATTATTATTTCTTTTTTGTGGTGGGGACAGTTAAGATCCAACTTCTTAGCAACTTTGAAGTTTTTAATACAGTACTGTCTATAAACATAATGCTGAGGGAAGTGAGCAGTTTACTTACTGTTTCTAGAACCCCACTTGTGATATATGCTAGTTACATACAATTTAGACATTTAATCTGTACATAGGGAAATGTCTAGAAGGATGTTCATGAAATGTTGAGTAGTTTCCACTGTATAGAAGGTTTTAAGAAATTTCAAAACAAAACCTTTTTATTTGTACATTCCTGTGTGTTGGAATTTTTTTAAAGTATACATTATGTTTAGAAAGACATTAAAGCTATTCCCAAAGACAGGAAACATTAAAATTAACCTCAGAGCAGATCCTTTCAATTTTACTTTTTAACCAAGGAAACATGATAGTCTGGTACTTCATTTAGAAGATTAGCTCTAGATTACCAAAGGAAAGTGTTTCTCACAGTGTGGTCCTCATTTATCTCCATCAAAATGACCTATGGAGCTTGTTAAACATACACAGTTCCAAATCCCCAACCCAACTACTAACTACCCCATCCCAACCAAACTGAATGAAAATCAGCATCCCTGCGGGTGGGTCCTCTACATGGTTCCCAAGCACTCATGTTGAAATGTGTACCTACTTAAGTCAGGAACCACTGCAGTGGTTCTCAACCAGTGGGTCGCGACCCCTTTGGCGGTCGAACGACCCTTTCACAGGGGTCGCCTAAGACCATCCTGCATTTCAGATATTTACATTACGATTCATAACAGTAGCAACATCACAGTTATGAAGTCTCAACGAAAATAATTTTATGGTTGGGTCACAACATGAGGAACTGTATTTAAAGGGCCAGAAGGTTGAGAACCATTGGCAGTGATGGCGAACCTATGACACGCGTGTCAGAGGTGACATGCGAACTCATTTTTTTGGTTGATTTTTCTTTGTTAAATGGCATTTAAATATATAAAATAAATATCAAAAATATAAGTCTTTGTTTTACTATGGTTGCAAATATCAAAAAATTTCTATATGTGACACAGCACCAGTTAGGGTTTTTCAAAATGCTGACACGCCGAGCTCAAAAGGTTCGCCATCACTGGCTTAGGGGAAGGAAAAAAGGGAGGAGTAGCAGGTTCACCTGTGTCATTCATACGAACACTTGTATACATTCTCTCCCTCTTTCTTTGTCTCTACACCTGTTTTCACACAATCTACAGAGGCTGAAATTGAGATGAGCTAAGCTAAGGGCATTGAATACCAGGTATTTAAAGGATTAAAATACTGAAGAAACCCCACAGAATGGCTCATTCTCATGTAATCGCCAACCCTTTTATCTCCATTTCTGTCTCCACTTACCTGGTACTTGGGTTTTTGATGAAGCCAGTGTTTATGAAATTAGGGCAGAGACATGATGTTTTGACTCCAGTTCTTCCTAAGGCCACCAGTTCATCAGTCAAAGCTCTGTGAAATCCCACAGCAGCAAACTTGCTGGAACTGGAAATACACAGAGAGAGGTCGCTGCATTTTCAAGAAATAATTCAAGAAAGCTGCTGCTTCTATGTAATTCAGAGATCTGTTTTCCTTAGTGAAGTGCGGCCCCCTGCCGAGAAGCGTGTCCAGCACCTGGATCTCAAAAAACGCCCAGCCCAGACCTACTGACAGAACCTGCATTCAGAAGATCCTTGGGGAAACTGAGGCACGTTCAAGTCTAAGAAGGCCTGGCGGGTGTGGCTCGGTGCTTGAGCATTGACCTAGGAACCAGGAGGTCACTGTTCCATTCCTGGTCAGGGCACATGCCCCGGTTGAAGGCTCAGTCCCTAGTGGGGTGCATGCAGGAAGCAGCTGATCAATGATTCTCTCCCATCACTGATGTTTCTGTCTCCCTCTCCCTCTCCCTTCCTCTCTGAAATCAATAAAAATAAAAAAAGAAGCAGTGACTGCACCCCAACATCATTTATCAGAGTGACATCTGAGTAGATTTAAATGTTTCGTTAGGAAAATTGGTAGGGTGCTTGTTTTGTTGTTGCTGTTTCCATAAAATTTAATGACACTGTAGGCTGCTCATTATTTAATATGTTCATGAAATTCATTGGAAAATTTTCCTGCATAAGTTCTATTCTTCCTTTAAGTCTCAGCTGGACTTCCTCAAAGAGGCCTTTCCTAAACCGTGGTCTAAATTATTTCCCCATCTATACTAATAAAAGGGTAATATGCTAATTAGACTGGGAGACCTTCCGGACGTCCTTCTGGACAAAGCCATGGTGGCGGGGCCGAGGAAGAGGTGGTTAGGGGCAATCAGGCTGGCAGAGGAGGGCAGTTGGGGGTGAGCAGGCCAGCGGAGGGGCGGGGGGGGGGGAGGCAATTGGGGGTGAGCAGGCCAGCAGGCAGAGTGGTTAGGGGCAATCAGGCAGGCAGGCAGGTGAGTGGTTAGGAGCCATTGGTCCCAGATTGCGAGAGGGATGTCCGACTATGGGATCGGGCCTAAACCAACAGTCAGACATCCCCCGAGGAGTCCCAGATTGGAGAGGGTGCAGGCCAGGCTGAGGGACACCCCCCCCCCCCACCATGCATGAATTTTGTGCACTGGGCCACTAGTTATATAATAATCTTCAGTTTTCCATCAGAGCACTTTTGGAAAGAGAAAGGGCATTAATCATATTTTAAGTGGACATTATGCTTCCAGTTAGATGTTTAAAAAAAACAATTTTATTGAGATATAAATTCACCTACCATATAGACCCATTTAAAGTGTATAATTCAATAGTTATTAAAATATAACATTAATTTTAAAAAAATATGTAAACAAATATATATAACAAAATTTTAAATTTTAACCAATTTAAAGTGTGCAAAGTTCAGTGGTATTATCAGATAGATTGTTTTTCTATAAATCTGTATGGATTAACAATTATATAAAGTAGCTGTAAATTCTTATAAATTAACCTGTGCTTTGGAAAATACAAAGCTGTGGAAAGTTCTCTTTAATTTTATTTTTTATTGATTTTTTAGAGAGGAAGGGGGAGGGTGGGAGGGGAGAACAAAGAAAAAGAGATAGAGAGATGTGAGAGAGAAACATTGATCAGTTGCCTCACACCCTGACCAGGGATTGAACCTGCAACCTGGGTATATGCCCTGACTGGAAATGGAACCTACACCTTTGGGTGTACGGGACAACGCTCCAACCAACTGAGCCACAACTGGCTGGGGCACTTTTTTTTTTTTTTGAAGCTTAGATAAATATTTAAGGCTTAAAAAGAAAGACTGCTAGATTAAATTATTTAAAATGTAAATCTTTTCTACCAACCTGCCGGACTCGTAGTTGAATGGATGCCCTTCTGGAACTGCTGGTAGCTAACTTGCCAAAGAGAAGGAAAGCCTGCCTGAGATTTTAATCACAGAGGCAAAAAAGTCCTCTTTGGCCTGGGCCAGTTTAAGTTTTGTGTTCCTTGCAGCTGAAAGAGTCCAGGCACGGCACCTTAGTTGCCGGGAGCCGGTCCATCCTTGCTGTTTCAAGGGACCTGGCATATATGGCATACTGTTCTTGATATGTTTGCTCACCTTCTTGGCACTATGTGTTTTGACCAGGGTCACCTCTCTGAGAAAGGTTGTTTCCCCAGGTAGGGATTTTCCCCTGAAGTTAGGGAGGGAATAAAACCCCTTAACTAAGTGCCAGGCAGGTAATTAATCACTTTAACTACGAACAATCATGCTTAAGCTACATAATCTTTACTCCCTGGAATGGAGATGGGAAACACCCTAACCTTTGGAATAGAGATTGATAGGATTGGAATCAACTGGTATAAATACAGATGTAACAAGACAACAGGACACAGAACTTAGAAGACAGAACCGAGGGACATAGAACCTGGATGCGGAACCTGCACGGAACTTAGAGACAGAACCTAGAGTGGGAACATGGCGAAAGATCCTGGACAGAAACTGGCAACAGAACCTAGAGACAGAACCTGATGATAGAACATGGCAAGAGAACCTGGTGACCGAACCTGGCTGGAGAACCTGGACAGAACCTGGCTGGAGAACCTAGCGAGGGAACATGGCTACAGAACCTGGCTGGAGAACCTAGCAAGAGAACATGGACACAGAACCTGGCTGGAGATCCTGACCAGAACTTCGCTGGAGAACCTACAGAACCTGGCAATAGAACCAGGCAAGAGAACCCAACCATGCTGATCAACTGAACGCTGCCTCCGAGTCATTCCTTCTTCGCTGACTCCGTCCACACCTTTGGGGACCCCTGGACCTGCTGGGGCTGGACCCCAGCACTTGGTGACGGCAAAAACATCAGGGAAGGAGCCTGGACCCTTAAACTTTGCAGAGGAGAGTAGACCTGTTAACTCCGACTTTTTGTGTGACGGAGAAGTAATTTATCTTGCTGAAATCACTTTTATTTTGAGCCATTCTATTTCATCTGTTGAACTGGTAATCTAATTAAACAAATGGTCACCAAAACCAGTAACACATTTTAATTAGATTTTGATATGATACTGGGGAAAGAGCAGCGGATGATAATCAGCTGAGAGGAACTTCAACCAGCTTTCTGGTTAGAGAGCACCTACCTGAGTTTCCCAATGAAAAAATGAAATCAGTCTAATGAAAAAATATAATCCTCTCAACAATAAGGGGAAAAATGTAAAAAATATATAAATGTTAAAAAAAGAGTCCAGCCCTAGCCGGTTTGGCTCAGTGGATAGAGCGTCGGCCTGTGGACTGAAGGGTCCCAGGTTAAATTCTGGCCAAGGGCACATGCCTGGGTTGCGGACTTGATCCCTAGTAGGGGGCATGCAGGAGGCAGGTGATCAATGATTCTCTTTCATCACTGATGTTTCTATCTCTCTATCCCTCTCTCTTCCGCTCTAAAATATATATATAAAGAGTCCAGACAAATGGACCCAACAATAATGGATAAATTAAATAAACAGTTGCATACCATGCAGGAATTGAAGATGATGTAGCACATATACATTTATTAACAGGCAAAAAGTTCATTTTAAAGTTTTAAAAAAGCAAGATCATGTATGTAGATTTTTTTTCAATGCATGACTATATATCTGCATTGAAAATGCTCTAACCAGGCCAGTGTGCTCAGTGGTTGAGCGTTGGCTCGTGAACCAGGAGGTCTCAGTCTGATTCCTGGTTAGGACACAAGCCCAGGTTTCAAGCTAGGAGGCAGCCGATCAATGATTCTCTCTCACTGATGTTTCTATCTCTCCCTTCCTCTCTCTGAAATCAATAAAAAGCATATTTAAAATAAATAAATAATTAAATAATTAAATGCCCTAAAAAATTATAACAAATGCTTACCAGGGTTTTTTCTGCATGGTGAAATTATCAGTAATTTTTTTTTTTTTTTTACTGAAGTGTATTTTCTGATTTTTCTTAAGTGAATCAAGAATGCAGGAATATATTAAAACTCAGAGTTAATGATCTTAAATGTGTTAAAATAATTTTATGGTTTTGAACTTTAGGTTGAGTGCGTTTTTTTTCTGCACTTTGTAACAGTATATCAAATTTCTTATTCTTAGTAACCTGAATTAGTATTTCTTATTCCAAATTACTTTTTTAAATAACACTTCATTACGAGCTAATGATCAGAACTCAGTTTCACCTTGTCTTCCCACAATGCTAACTTTCATGCTTATAAATTGGCTATTTGAATTGACAAGATGTATTCGCCAGAGTTTCGCGGCACCAAATTGCTTTCTTTTTAAAAATCAAGACACTTTTGGACAAAATACTTAGTGAGCAGCAAAACAACGTAATCAAAGGATTAACCTCTCTCATCATGAAGTCAGTTTTTCCATCTTGCTTTTTTTTTTCACATTAATCATTAAAACTGTTGAACTATAAATCCAAAAGAAATTGACTTTTTTTTTCTAATATAGGTGATTAGAGCTGTAATAGATGCCTTTGCCATGGCTGCAGCAACTCGGGATAATGACAGCTGAAGGCTGGATTACAGGGCCTAAAACAGGTAATTCTAGGTCCCCCCTTATTTCATTCTAACAAATAGGAGCAGAGCACATATGACTCATTCCACTAGGGCAGCGGTTCTCAACCTGTGGGTCGCAACCCCTTTGGCGGTCAAACGACCCTTTCACAGGGATCGCCTAAGACCATCCTGCATATCAGATATTTACATTACGATTCATAACAGTAGCAACATTACAGTTAAGAAGTAGCAACGAAAATTATTTTATGGTTGGGTCACAACATAAGGAACTGTATTTAAAGGGCCAGAAGGTTGAGAACCACTGCACCTAGGGCAAAGCATTTTGGAAGCTAAAATGAGAGGTGGGTCCTTACCATTTGTGTGAACAGAGAGAAGTGGAATTGGAACAGAATATCCATAGGAACCCTCCTGTTATTGAACACTTGCAAAATTCCAGATACTATGCATCCTGATGAGTTAGTTAGTTGCTATGGTTAGCATTATGTTATGGATGAGGAAAATGACGCATATATAAGTTGAGTAACTTGCCAAAGGTCACATAAGGCTAGTTAAGTGATTAAGTCAAGATTCCAAACATCATTATTCATAGTAATCATGCCCTGTAAACAATACAAATGTTCATCAACGGTGGTAGGATAATAAATTATTGTCCACTTATATGATGCAATACTAGACGGGCATAAAAGTGATTACACTACAGCTACCAACAACAACATGGATAAATCTCACATAGTGTGCTTCCATGTATATAAAGATAAAAAATAGGCAAAAGTAATTGATGGTATAACAAGTCAATATAGGAGTTTCCTCTGGGAAGGAAAGAGGAATTGGTGGTTGGGAAGAGGAACTTCTGTCAAGTTCTGTTTTTGACCTGCATGGACGTTAAATAGCTGTGTCCACTTTGCAGTAACTCATTGAGCTGTACACTCATGATTTCTGCATTTTTATAAGTGTATGTTATACTTCAGTTTATGTTTTAAAAAGCAGCATCTCAGTTTAACCACCCAATTGGTGATAACAACTGATAAACATTGTTTTCTGCTGGGTGAAGTCTTCTGTGTGTCTCTGTGAAAGCTCTGCCATTGATCTGATATTGAGCAAAAACCAGAGTCAACTGAATTTAAGATAATTGTGATCAATAAGGATCACAGACTGCGTCTCAGGCCAGTGAGAGCTGAGGGTCCAAACAGGAGTCCTGCGAGGGCAAGCACAGCACAGGTCAGTCCCCAAGCTGGAAGTGTACAAACCATCCGTGTAGCTGCAACCTGCCTGTTAAGGAGCCCAAATGGCGCCCCTGTGTGAATTAGGAAAGGCCACTTCTCTTCTCAAGCTATTTTACTGCCTATACATCTGGAAAATCATTCAAGTCTAAAAGGACCCGAACGTGAGCAGCGCCCCCTAGAATTGTGTAGCGCACAACCTGCACAACTGGGTATGTTGTTCCTGCTCCGACAATACCTGGTAAGAACCTTTACTTCTGTTGGCAGCACCATCACTAGTCACCACAATAAATCTGTTTCTCACACAAAGCACATTCTCGCTTGACTTTCACTGTAAACCTCAGTGGGGTAGAACCAAATCAGAATCAGAAGAACGACAATATTTACTATGGCAAGGGAAGGAGGAAGCGCAACAGGCCCTGTTACGTTCCCTAATTAGCTGGAACTAAGACGGAATTTGGCAGGGCAGTGGCATGTCATGTGCTAGCTTAGCAGCAGCACTGGCGACTGTCTTTCATCAAGGAAGTAAATGCATATACAACCGTGTTAGCCCTTGATGGTAGGGGCCAATCTCCTAACTTAAACTGACTCTGACAGAGATAAGACAAGGACTGTAGATCTGTTCTGTGACTGCCTCAGCAGTTATTTCATCTTTTTTTAAAAAAACTCAATCCATGTCTATATTTATTTTTTAAAACTATTATAAAACAGACAAATGGTCAGAAAGGAAGAAAGAAAACATAGATGAACAAAAAGAATAAAATAAAAACCATTTTTATTGCCATTACCTAAGATTAACCACTCTCTAGCTGTGGTTAGATAAATGGTTTGGTATATATATCTTTGCAAACTTATGTATTAATTTTCTTTGTTGTTAAGCCTCACCCAAGGACATTTTTCCCATTGATTTTTTTTTAAAGAGAGAGTGAAAGGGAGGAAGGGAAAAGAGAGAGAGCGAGAGAGGGAAAGAGAAACATTGATGTTGAGAGAATCACATCAATTGGTTGCCTCCCATACACTCCCTGACCAGGGCTGGGGATTAACCTGCAACCCAGCCACGTGCCCCTGACTGGGAATCGAACCTGAGACCCTTTGGTGCTTGGGCTGACACTCTAACTACTTATCTACACCAGCCAGGGCTAAAATGATCAATATTAACTTCTGTTCATGGTATTGCTCTTATTTTATAATCCCTTGCTGCTAAAACAGGTAAGAAATGTTGAAGCAGTTGGCTTCTATTTGGATAATTTCCCTGTAGCCACCTCTAGAGTGGTCAACATAGTAGGGGGTTAATGGTTGATAATGTTGTTGCACAAGAGACTGTGTGCAACAAAGCTAAGCATAGCAACCAATGAAAAAACACATGTTCACTTACCAGTAAGCCATCAAAAAGGGAACTGTAGTATGCCCAGCTGCTGAGGCCACAGTGACAATATGGCCATGATTATTCCTCATCATCGCTGGAAGAAATGCCTTGGTGGTCTAGAAATAGTTATTATAAAACAGAAAAAAAATTTATTTCTGATTTGCAGACCCATTGGGAATATTTTGAAACAAAGATGCATTCTGTTAACATTGTTCCTGACATAAATTAAAATACCTAGATTAAATTGCCAAATGTGGCAACATAAGGCAATTGGATAGGATGCCAGATTAGAAAAATTAAAAATACTGAAAACTTTAAGAATCCATTTCATTTAAATTGCCAACAACTTATGTCCACTGGTCCTCCACCTTTTGTTAATGATATATTCTATCGTAATGTGAAATTGTTAGGAAAGAGTTTGCCGTAAAAATATTGAAGTGAACAGCAATCTTCCAATAGTCACTGAATGATCCACACAATACTTACCGAGGACCTGCTATGTGATGGGGATTCAGCAACACGTAAGACAATACCATACATTCCAAAAGAGGCAGGAAGATAAGCAAATTCCTAAGTCATTAAAATACAGATAGGTGTACCCTGGCCGGTTTGGCTTGGAGGATAGAGCATCGGCCTGCGGACTGAGGGGTCCTAGGTTCGATTCTGGTCAAGGGCACATGCCAGGGTTATAGGATCAATCCCCAGAGGGGGTGTGCAAGAGGCAGCCAATCAATGATTCTCTCTCATCATTGATGTTTCTATCTCTCTCCCCCTCTTCCTTCCTCTCTGAAATCAATAAAGATATTTAAAAAAAATACAGATAAGTGTCAACAACTTGAGAATGTTAACATAACATAATATTGCATTTTTACCAACTAACTCCAATATTCTTTTGAGATTACTCATCCCAAACTCTCATCCAAGAAAACATTCAGGGGCCCTTTAAGGAACTGGCTATTTGGGCAGTAGACCTCTCAGAAACTCTGTGTGTGTGTGTGTGTGTGTGTGTGTGTGTAAGACCTTGAATGGTGAGTTTCATAATAAAGTTTGCGTTTGGGGCCAGGATATAACGGGAGGCCCGGGTCTCATGAGAATCAAAAAGCAAACTGGGTTTCCCTTTTATAGAACCACAGCAGGTAACTTAGAGTATCCCTAATCCCTTCATCTTTAAACAGACAGAGACATGAGAATCTAGCTTAGAATTAAAACATAAATACCACATGAGGTTTATTACTATTTATTATTATTAATATTTTTTGAGGGGGGAGGAAAAATAACTGATGAAATTTGGTTGTAGCAAAAAGGAAAATGATCTCACCCTAGCCGGTTTGGCTCAGTGGATAGAGCATCAGCCTGAGGACTGAAGGGTCCCAGGTTCGATTCTGGCCAGGGGCACGTGCCCAGGTTGCGGGCATGCAGGAGGCAGCCAATCAATGATCCTCTCTCATCATTGATGTCTCTATCTCTCTTCCTCTCCCTTCCTCTGTGAAAGCAATTAAAATATATTGAAAAAAAAGAAAAAGGATCTTTTTGTATATTATCCCTGGTACCTAACTAAAACTTTAGTACTGAGTTGATATGTCCTTATCTCTAATAAAAGCTTCACTTTAAACTTAGTCTTTGAGTCTTACAAGAAGACTCAAAGAAATTGTAAAAGAAATCATACTTACCCAGAAATGTGCAAGTACATTAACTTCAAAAGTCTTTTCAATCTGAGGGTCTTGTGTAGCAAACAAATCTGATGTATAGACCACACCAGCATTATTTACCAGAATGCTAACATCTCCAACTTCTGTCTTCACCTTTAAAAATAAAATAAGAAAAATATCTGCATCATTAAGAAGTATGCAGGTAGGTTTGCATGCAATGATTACTTTAAAAAGTGTGTGTGTGTGTTTTTTATTAGCTGTGGGGGAAATAATGTAGTTTTGAATCTATGTGCCAACATGAAAAAAAAAAGAACCTTTTAATCTTAGATACTTAATTTCAAAATAACACTGCTTGTACAATTTCTTTTGCAATTTAGTCTCTTGACTTTGCTCTATTGATTATAGCTCTGGAGGCATTTGGCTAACAAAAACATAACCAGAGACAAATAAGCAGCTTTCTTTTTAAAATACTACTTTAAAAGGTAAGAAAAAAAAAAGGTTAATTAATTGTCAAGTGCAGGGACTATTATGAGGAAATCTGTAAAACTGATTACACCATTAAACTAACTACATCCTCTATTGGTTTTTATGGTCACTCCATTCTATTGCTCTCCAACCTTTCTCCATGAAGTTGCAGTATACTTAAGGGCTAACAATGCAAGAATATCTTATTCAATATTTCAGGCTGCTTGGTGGATGGAACCATAGAGTCACAATGCAATTCGTTATACATTGTGTTCCAAACAAAAGCAAGTCTCTATTAATAGAGCTATCCTTATTTAGATATTGCTGTAGTGTCTTGGGGAACTGAGACAACTAGCCTATTAAAAGCTTTCACATATGTAATTGCTATGCATTTTACAGAACTTCACTATCTCATTTAACTCTCACAATGATCCTATGAGATAGCAACTCTTAGTATGCGCATTCTAATGAGAAACATGAAACCCAGAATGGCTCACTTTCTTGCCAGAGGTCACATGGAGCTGGGACTCTCCCAGATAAACTGACCTCAGAGACCAAGACACATCTCAAACCTCAAACAGAGGGCAAGTCAGGAGGGTGAGGCCCATCCCCATCCCAGAAGGACATCAGTTCCTCAGACAGACTGAGTTTCATCAGGTTGTATTAAATTGTTAGAGTCAAGCTAAGTTATTTTGGTCCTTAATCAACACATTTTTGTACCTATATTCACATCTCTAGCACAATAGGAAAATTGTTATTTCGAATAATGCCCCTAAGTTATGAGAAAAACAGGACACTCTGTGATTGAATTGATGAAGCTGCTGTAGTGCCTCCAAATTAACATGACTCAAACTATAAATTACTGTTTCATATTGCCAAAGTGTTTGCTCAGACCCCCTGACCCTTCCTTCATCCTCCTCATCGTCACCCACTGTCTCCCCCCACGATGAGAATGCTGACTTGAACATTTCTTAATAATGAAAGCGAGCTGAGAGCTTTATTGTTTAGGTGGCGTAAAAGTGTCCTGATATCAAAACAGCCACATCAAAATAGCTACTTCCAAATATCTGGTAACCATACGTCACTGTGTGTACTCTGTTTAAACACACAGTGAGTTCATCTTAGGACAATTTCAGTGAAAACACTATGTTTTAAATACATGGAATGGTTTCAAATAATAAAGTTATCTCTCCCAGAAAAGCCTATCCCAAATGAGTCTGGAAACGAATGTGTTCCCTTTAGTAACTAGCATTCCTAAATCCCCTTAATATTGGCTGATAACAAAGTTATATAGATTATATTGGTGGTTCTATTATTGTTAGCAGAGGTAGCTAGATGTTCATAAAGGTAAGGAGCAAAAGGCACCGGACCTTATTCAGCCCAATAAACCAGGGAGCTGACACGGGCAACAAGCCTGCCTGCTTCACTAGGAAGTTACAGCTTCACACACTCCCCGGGGTATCCTCTACCCTCGGAGACCGAGTACCCCCAAGCAGGCCCCCATTTCCACTGGCAACATCACAACACTAATAACTGATTCTGACCAAGTGACTACTGAGCACCAGGTATTGTTCTAAAAACTTTACGAATCATTAATTCGTTTACTCCTAACAACCCTATGAGGTAGGGATTGCTGTGATCCCCATTTTATAACTGAGGAAAGTTGGGCACAAAGAGGTTGGGTAATTTGCCCAAGGTGATAAAGCCAGTATTAACGGGAAGAGCACTCACCTCTATGAAGGAAAATCATTATTAATGTAAGTAAACCCGTTATTGTGAGGAATGCAGATGTTTCTTACCCAAAGGCCTTGATCTTACCATACTCCCTTCCCGGAAGGCCATTTCCCACCACTAGCCTGGGTAATGTCTACCGATTCTACTGACCTAGCGAAGGCCTAACCAACAATAGAGGCATCAGTTTGAAATAAAAGATTATAATTTAAAATAGACGTTAAAGATGTCCTCAGAACTAAAATTCAAGAGGTTCTCAAGTCTTGGAGGAATCAGAATATCCAGGGGTGAGGTCCAGGAAGGTCTATTTTAAGGAATTTGCCCAGGGTAATTTTAGTGGCCTTTCTACTATCACCACATTTAGTTAACAAGCATATTTATGAATGTGCTCAGAAGAAACCCCATTCATTATATATAGCACAGCTCAGTTATGTATAGAGGAGGCAAATACTGCTTTATAGAAATAGCTCTATGCTCGAAGACTGATGAACAGTTATCCTATCCTCCTAACTGAGTTCTTTGACTGGAGTTCAGAAGACTCTGTTAGTGATTCTGCAGTGTCATCCAAGGATTTACTGGTATCAGAATCAGATGGTGAGGAGTGGGTGCAAGGGTACTAAACATTCAAATTCCTGGGCCCAGCCCTCGACCCACTGAAAGAAAACTTCTGGGGTGTCTATTTTTATTTAAACAAGCTCCCTGGAAGATTGCGTAACACATTAAAGTCTAAGAACCTCAGTTCTGGGCTTTAGTTCTGGGTCTGCCACTAGCTAGCTGTACAACTTTGGGCAAATCACCAACCTCTGTTAGTTTCTCCTCATCATGACTGGGCCATCTCCAAAATCCCTCCTAGCCCTGTCACAATATGATTCTAACCAAATGTGAAATGTTACCTTCTTTGCCGAACTGTAAATATCTTCCCGGTTGCTGCAGTCTACCACAAAGGCATGCGCTTGTGCACCCATTTTCCTGCATTCAGCAGCTGTTTCCTCAATTCCATGCTAGGAAAAGCAACAGAGAGGCAGGAGAATATAATAATGGTGAGCGAATTATATCAACAGCTGAAAATAATTAAGGGGAGTCAGATTCTTTGAACTGGGACTGGGCAAGAATTCCATTGACACATTTTTGACAATGCTTTGAAGAGCTTCTTTTAGTTGGAAGTGAATTTAAAGCAAGCTTTGAAAAATAAGATAAAAATTTTAAAATACTAATTTTGTATTATTAATTTTACATTGTGAATATATATATATATACATATATATGTATATATATATATATACATATATATATATATATATTTGAGTGTATGTTCCATATTAGGCTTTAAAAAATAACACTAAGCTTTTTTTCTTCTCTGTCACTAAAAGCTACTCATGGACGTCAATTTTCTGGCTGCAAAATAAATAAGGAGTTAACTATAATTCATTCATTCATTCATTCACTCATTTCTCCAACATTTTAATGTGTAGGTCATATTCATGATGCTTAGAAGAACCCTGTGGACACAAATATGAATGAGTCAGAGTCCTAACCTCAGTGAGTTCAGTGTTGTAGAAAAAAATAAAATAAGTATAATAATTAGGTAGGACCATACGAAATTCTTATTTTTAATTTTTTTTGTTAATCCTCACCCAAGAATATTTTTTTCCCATTGATTTTTAGAGAGTGGATGGGAGAGGGGGAGGGAGAGAGAGAGAGAGAGAGAGAGAGAAACATGTATATGAGAGAAGCACATTGTGCCCAACCCAAGCTGGGGATTGAACCTGCAAATAAGGTACTTGCTCTTGACCCGGAATCAAACCCGCCACCCTTTGGTGTGTAGGCCCATGCTTTAACCACTGAACCATGCCAGCCAAGGTGAAACTTTATAATTGCTTTAGAATAAAGGATTGAATATTGGCAGTCTCATATGGTTCAAACTAATATATTGTGTAAGTATATTAACAGAGCTACATAGAGTTACGGGAGCACAGAGAAGGGGCACGCAGTACAATTCCAGAAGAGGAGGTACCTGAGTTGGGTCTTAAGAGTGAGTAGAACAGCTATGCAAAGAGAGGGCAGGGCACGCCAGGCAGAGTGTAAGGAAAGGAGAAAGATCCTCTGGGAAAGCATGAGGAGATTGGTGATGCTGGGTCATAAGGTTCAAGGCCAGCGGGAGCCCAAATTAAAGGGCATTATATGTCATAGTAAGTGTGCCCTATTTGGCATATACCGTGTGGCAGGCCTTGTGCTTTGTGTGCATTATCTAATATAATCCTTCCAGCCCTCTAAGGTAAGTACTATTATTTTACCCATTTTTCAGAAAAGGAACCTTAGACTCTAGGGCAGCGGTTCTCAACCTGTGTGTCGAGACCCCTTTGGGGGTGGAACGACCCTTTCACAGGGGTCGCCTAAGACCATCGGAAAACACATATAGAATTACATATTGTTTTTGTGATTAATCACTATGCTTTAATTATGCTCAATTTGTAACAATGAAAATACATCCTGCATATCAGATATTTACATTACGATTCATAACAGTAGCAAAATTATAGTTATGAAGTAGCAACGAAAATAATTTTATGGTTGGGGGGTCACCATAACATGAGGAACTGTATTAAAGGGTCCCGCAATTAGGAAGGTTGAGAACCACTGCTCTAGGGAGTTACCCAGGGTATTGGGTAAGTTATCCATGAAGAAGTAGAGAAGTCAGATGAGTCTGTCCACACCCTACCAAACACTTCCTTAACAGCACCAGACTAGGCTGGGCCTAGTTTGTATTTTTCATTTATATGTAATTATTTAATGTCTATTTTCCTTACTATAGTAAGGGCATCTGACCCTGCTCCTGTTTGACCTGTGTTCCTAAAATCTAGGCAACAGATACTCTGGAAATACTTGTTGATAGCTCTCTCAATTAGCCACGCACTGGGTTGGCCTTGCCGATCATCTAGCTTCACATCCCATGAATTCTTGTTTACATCATTGTAACTAATGGTAAGGTATGGCATTTCAGGCCAGCAGGTGCTTCCAGGAACCTCTTTGTACATCAATGACAGCCAAGTACAAGTTAAGATTTTAGCCCTGACCCATGTAGCTCAGTTGATTGAGCATCCTCCCATGCACCAAGAGGTCACAGCAGGCCCGCGGGCCGATCCCCAGTAGGGAGCGTGCAGGAAGCAGCAGATCCATGTTTCTCTCCCTTCCTCCCAAAAATCAATAAAAAATATATATACATATGTAAATATACATATAGATACATATATAAATATATATATTTACTTTTTTTTTTGAAGAAAAAAAGGTAAGATTCTAAGTACCCCTCTCTTCCTTAAGCCTAGTCTGGTAAAAATTACATTCAAGTTTTTCTTTTTTGTTGTTTTTAACTAAAATGTGATTTTTAAAAAAATGTATTTTATTGATTTTTTTACCTAGAGGAAGGGAGAGGGATAGAGAGGTAGAAACATCGATCAACTGCCTCCTGCACACCTCCTACTGGGGATGTGCCCGCAACCAAGGTACATGCCCCTGACCAGAATTGAACCTGGGACCTTTAAGTCCGCAGGCCGAGGCTCTTTCCACTGAGCCACACCGGTTAGGGCTAAAATGTGATTTTTGAAAAAAGTACTCTTGGAAATTACTATGGCATAGTAATGTTGCTTTCTGTTGGGTATCTTAAACCCACTTACCTCAGTTAACTGCAGGTAGGATTTTTTTCTTAATAGGTACAAACCTCTTACTCTTCTGTCAGACTAGCTAAAACTATTACTTTTTCCACATGATTGAGGTTGAGGGTCAGTGAAATCAAGCTGAGGAGGAAATCACAAATGACTTTCGGGGCAAAAGTGAGGATAAATTTACAGTGTCAAACGGGCAGCACCTGAGAATCTTACCCGAGTCCAGGTCCATCTATCACATGATCATAAACACAGTAATTAATCCACGTTCCCCCATCTATAACTTGGCAATAGTAATTTGTTCTACCGCCTTCACAGAGAGGCTGTAAGGGGTTGTTGCCTGCAACATGCACACATGTCCACAGACTACAGGTACCAGAGAGGAAGACAGCAAAGCACCATTATTACCTTATTTATATCCCACAGAACCAGTTTGCTTTTAAGTTTGGCAAATTCATAGGCCGTCAGTCTCCCGATTCCATGCCCAGCTCCCGTAATCAGGACGACTTCTCCAGTGACTGACTTCCTCTTCTTAGGAATAAAAGACTTCAGGAGAGATTCTAAGATGAAGACGAGCAGTAAAGGCAGAAGCAGGAGGCAGTCCAGAACGAATTTTATCATTTTTGTTGCTGCGAGGACTGGGTATGTTTACCAATCACTCTAAATTGCTGAGGGGGGTGTGGGAGGGTTGTTCCGTCTAACCCTAGAGAGAGTAAAAGCCAGAGCAAGCCAGGGCTTCTTTATCAAAGAGAAACAAACAACCCTGAAACCGTTCCTTCCGCTGGGCTGGGCTTGGTTAGGTCCTTCGCAATTGGCTCGGACTGCAGCGCGGAGCCACTGCTCGCCGGCGCGGAAATCTGGGAGGGACAAGCCGGAGGAGAGCAAAAGCCAAAGTCGTCTTTCACCCACTCCCTCCCGACCTCCCGAGCCGAAGCCCGAGGGTTCGTAGCCGCCTGTTTTCCTCAATTGGATGCATTCCTCTTAAAGTTACAAGGGTAATTGACAGGGTCCGCAGCCCAGATGCTTCTTTGAAATTTGATGGTTGCCCATTACTACTAGTTAGCGATGCAGATATCGTTGTCTGTCTTAAATAAATGAACCTGGGGGAGGGCCAGTTGTCCCGCTCCCGGCTGAGAAATGATGCTTCATCACATTTTAGTTTGGAGGACAGAGGAAAACTTGTCCTTTCTTGGGACAACAATAATCAAGACCCAGGAAATACCTGGTCATATTAAAGGGGATTGTTTCCACAAGGAAGAGCTGTATATTTGCCAGCGGTTCTCAACTTGTGGGTCGCGACCCCTTTGGCGGTCGAACGACCCTTTCACAGGGATCCCCTAAGACCATCCTGAATATCAGATATTTACATTACGATTCTTAGCAGTAGCAACATTACAGTTATGAAGTAGCAACGAAAATAATTTTATGGTTGGGTCACAACATGAGGAGCTGTATTTAAAGGGCCAGAAGGTTGAGAACCACCGGATAACCCCTTTCACTCACCCTATTAGAATTCGTGAAAAAGAACATATGTTACGATTTAGGAATTGTATATTTATCCAGGTCAATAAATCACTGCCCACAGAATGGGTAATAAACTAGAAAGAAAATTTTTGTCTCAAAATTGTAATTATGTGAGTATTCAATATGTCACTGCTGATTTTTTTTTTTTTTTTTAATCCTAGTGATTGGTTATTGAAAGAAAAGACCAAACTCTGGGCTTGTGTGCAGTAAGAGCTTAATATCTCTTGCATGTATTTTTTTCAATTCCGTTTTTGACAGTAATTTTATTGGGACTTTTTGCAATGCATTACAGTCTCTTCTTAGGAAGAGACTTTTGTCACGAGGGGAACTAATGGTTACCCTTTTATGTTTAAGAGGCAGGAAAACCGCAAGAAGTGGAAGCTCCCAACGAATTCATACTCCTTCCTCTTACTTCAGCAGCCCTACACTGTTAGAGGGAGGAAGGGGTTGTGACAGTCCTGCTAAGGCAGAACACTGTGGAGTTCTTGGAAGTTCTGAATCTCAACTGCAACTCTTTCTTATGCCCCCAAATCCAAGTTTACAAAGGTACATGCATATCAATAGAAAGTTTCCAGTTTCCAGAGCTTTTTTCTCCATCTATTATTTCATTTGCTGTTCAAAAAGCCTTCTAGGAAATACAGAAAAAAAAGTTTTTCTCCTTATTTTATAAATGAATAAATCAGTTAGATTGACTATTAAAGCTCCCACAGCAAGTAAAAATGTGAAGCTAGACACAGGGTCAGTATTTATTAAACTTTTTTTGCCCAATACCTATAGGAAGAAACCACATTTTGCATGGTGACCTAGTATATGTATGTGTTTGCTTTTGTATATGTTGACTTTAATATATACTGAGGCTCAGACTATTTTTTCTATTAAAAATTTGTATTAAGTAAAAACTGGGTAGTTTTCACTCACTAAGTTGACCAAGGAAAGAATCCAAGAAACATTCATCCCTGAATCCCAAGTGTGTATGTAACTTCACCTCCCTGAGCATGTGTCCTAATTTGTAAAACTGGGATGCTACTAGTACTTACTATACAGGACTCTTGTGAAGTTCAAAAACGTTAACATAAAGCACAGTACTTTATCTACTGTTCAACTCTATATAAATTATAATTAACACTAATATAATTATAATCTGAATGGTTTTGTGAGTGATGATTAGCTACTGATCTGATACAGTAGTAAGTACATGACTTTATTACAGTATATTCGTGGTTTTAAAAAATACCTGTTACCCTGGCTGGTGTTTCCCAGTGGTTAGAACATCTGCCCTCACACTGAAGGGTCTTGGGTTCAATTCCCCGTCAAGGGCACCTACTTGGGTTGCGGGTTTCATCCTCGCCCGGATTCGGGGGGGAGTGGGGGGTGGAGGGCAGTTCTGCAGGAGACAACAAATGTGTCTCTCTCAAATCAATGTTTCTCTCTCTCCCCCCCTTTCTTCCCTCCCTTCCACTTTCTAAAAATCAATGAAAATATTTCTTGGGTGAGGATTAAAAAGAAAGGAAAAGAAAAAAATTTAAAAATACCTTTCATTAGGAGAGTTTAACATGTTTTATATGTGCAACATCTTAATTTCATGCTGCCTTCCCACCTATTGAAGTGGCATTAAAAAGAATAAGGGGTTCCTCAACAATGTTTTGAGCACTCACTATGTATGGCCAGGCATTATGCTGAATGTTCACATAACCTACACGGGTCACTTTATCCTCTCGATAACCTTAAGCAGTAGGTTCAGTTAGGAACTCTGTTATACGAATGAAAAAATAAAGGATTAAGAGAAATCCAGCAAATCATCTGAGATCATAGTATAAATGATAGAGCTGAATTTAAGTCTAGGCCAATATGACTGTGCTAGATTGCCTTCTTTCTTAGGGCAAAAAAGAAAAATTAATCCAGTTCTAAATCACTGTGAAAATCCAAAAGGATCAAAACTCCCACTATTCATAACCCCAACAGCATTCATAACACCTCCTTCTCATGTGATTAGGTCACTTAACTGACTAATTAGCAGGCAACAGAGTACAGCTGTTAAAACAATGAGTTTTAATTCCTATCAAGGGTTTTATTAGTTATGAGAGGCCCACTACACGAAGATTTGTGCAAGAATGGGCCTTCCTTCCCCTGGCTGCCGGCACCGCCTTCGCTCTGGCCCGGAGCCGCCTTCCCGCCTTCCCACACTGCCCAGAGGCCCCGCCCCCGGCTGCTCGGCTCCTGTGTATGTAAATTAACCTGCCATCTTTGTTGGGTTAATTTGCATATTCCTGATTGGCTGGTGGGTGTCATGAAGGTACAGTCAATTTGCATCTTTCTCTTTTATTAGCGTGGATGTGATATCTGGTTAATTAATTACCCTCACCTGAGGTCTTAGTTATTTCATCTGTAAAATGGATATAATAATAACTGGGTGGGGGGGGATCGGGTAAGAGATCAACCAAAGGACTTGTATACATGCATATAAGCAAACCAATAGACACAGATACAGATACTAGGGGGGTGAGAGCATGTGCGGGGGAGATGGGGGTGGGTGGGGGGAAGTCATGGGGAAAAGGACATATATGTAATACTATATGTAATACTTTAAACAAAACAAAAATAAATAAAAATACTGCTAAAAAACAAAACAAATAACCCAACCAAACAAAAAGTAACAGCTTGGTTTAGTAAGTGAGACATTTAAACAGCACAGAGCATGGCATCTTACATACAGATGTACCTGATGAACGGTAGCTGTTACCATAGCTGAACTGGTCTTCTGTAAGGCTGTGGCTCAATAGAATCCTAGTGGATTGAGGACAAAAGGCCGCCCGACTTAGCATTGCCAAGCCATTCTTCTCCCCATTGCTCTAGAAAATGCTGAGGAAGCACATCCAGAAGTGATAGCTGAAGGAGGAACTTCAAAGAGCTCTCCTGTCATCTGGGATAGAAGCCTCCACACTTGGCTCTGTAGTCTGGATTTGAGAGCTGGAGGGACTTAGATGATAGCTTGTCCAGCCACATCTGGTTTTTCTTTTTTCCAAGTAATGAATCTATGAATTCAAAGTAATGAGTATATCTGGTTTAAACATGATTCAGCAGGGCAAATATTAAAAATGCACAGCCTGACTTTTGTCTGACTCCTCAGATCAACGACGTTTAGTCCATTTAGCTGTCTATTACAGAGGTGACTTAAAAGCCTCTAATAAAGGCTTTCAATGCCATGTCCTGATTAATCAATAGAAGACATTATCAATCAATTTTCTCCTGTAACAGCTGAGGTTGTAGCTTACTCTTCCCCTAATTCCCTCCTCCCTCTACATACAGGGTGTCTCAAAAAATGTATACAGGTTGTACACACTTTAACAGCTGATAGCTCAATTGATGTTTCCTTTCAGATTTAACCCATTGGAATTAATAATTATTTAAAGAGTGTATACATTTTTGGGGACACCCTATATATTCCCAATATAATTATGTCATTATCTTTGCTACTTTTATAAGGTTATATTTTAAACGTTTACACTTTTTTTTGGTCTTATTCCAGCAACTACCTGATGAAATTATTGGCTTCAATTTTATTTATTTATTTATTTATTTATTTATTCATTTAAAATGTATCTTTATTGATTTCAGAGAAGAAGGGAGAGGGAGATAGAAACATCAATGATGAGAATCATTGATTGGCTGCCTCCTGCACATCCCCTATGAGGGATGGAGCCCGCAACCCAGGCATGTGCCCTTGACTGGAATCGAACCCATGACTCTTCAGTCTGCAGGCTGACACTCTATCCACTGAGCCAAACTGGCTAGGGCAGCCTCGATTTTATAAGAGGCGGGTATGCCCTGTTCTTTTCCTCAGCTGCCCATTTCTACCTTCCAGCTCCCATTTTCTGCACATTTACTTTCACAGTGCCTGGACTGATAATATGTACTTCCCATTTTGTAACTGTAACATCTCCTGTGCTTGGTCTATTGGTTGACTCTGAAAGCTGAGTCAACAAATAGCGTTCATATTCTTAGGACTAACGACAGTAGCCTTCCTCAGCGTGATGCTGCTCATTGGGCTGGACCAGAGGAAATCACTGCCATCTCGAAACTGTTCATCACTGGCCTTTGTGAAGCTACGGCAGCATCGTGTCAGAGCAAACGCTCTGCAGTTAGGGTGGAGTTCTAGCTCTGTTACACTCTAGATGTGTGAGTTTGGACAGGTCATTTATATTCCTTGTGCCTCAGTTTCCTTATCTATAAAATATCAGTAA